ACACTAACACACTTATAATAAATCTCAGGGTTTAAAATCGCTACCAAATGTATCGGTGATATTTTTTTTAGAATCGGCAACCGCATACTGCTTATTTTTGATACAATTCTATTGCACCTTTATCACACTCAAACAATTCACTAATTAATCATTACTACTGATTATCTGATTATATTTTAAATTGTCTAGCTTTTTTAGTTTTCATTTGGTTTATAATGATAATATTGTTTTATAGCCAAGCAAAAATACTTTAAAATCTCACATAATATTCATCATATATTTTACTTAAGTATTATATTCAAAAAAAAAGTTAGCGTTGTAAATAAAAAATTTAACAAAAATTGTAATAATCTTGGCTCTTATCAACATTTGTACGAATAAACCTAAAATAACATATACCTATACTTGTATTTATATTATTGATAGAAGGGAAAATAGGGGAAATATATAAATTAACCTTCATAATCACTTAATGCAATGATTTGGCTTCAATAGTGTTTTGTGAAGTATATATGCAACAATAAAATGTTAATGGCTTTTTCATCACAATAAAAATTTCAAGAACAGTGTTTTGCAATGGAATTATTTATTAAACTGTGTCTCCCATGAAGACTGTAATTGTCTACCTACTAATATAATATTGTATTATTCATTGCATTCATTGAGTTGGTAGGTATAGGCAGTGTTTGTCTTTTTCAAATAAAAATGACATGTTATAAGTAAAAATAGAAAACCACACGATTCTAATCACCCTTATTCTCAAAAATATCATTTTTTAATTCAATATTCTATAGACTTGAACGTATTCCATTAAATAAACATAATTATCAACACGAGCTCAATATTATCTATAATATAGCCCATAGAAATAATTTCAATTTAAATACTGTTAAAAAAATTCATAAACGTATTAAAGTAAAAATAATACACAACTCACCAAATAATATTGTTAACTATTGTAGTATGAAATAACAAAATAATATGTCTAACGAATTCGCTGAAATTCTGAACAACAATACAAATAATGTAAAAATCGCTTTTAAGACTAATAATAATATAATCAAACATATAAACAATAAAACTAAAAACTTCACAAAAAAATCCTCTTTCTTTTTAAAATGCTGGTATTTATAAACTTAAATTAAACTATAATCAATTTTATATTGGTCAGACAAATAGAAATTTTAAAATAAGATATAAAAAACATATTTCTGAAATAAAACTTAAAAAGACTGCCCTAATTCAAATTGCGTTTTAGAAAATAACCATAATTTAAGTTTTAATATTAATACAGAATTAGAAATATTAAATACCCAAAATAAAATTTACATTAATCCAGTTTTAGAAGAAATACACATACACAATGAAATAAAGAAAAGTAATTTTAATAATATTTTAAATGTACAAACCTATTTTAAAAATAATATCTTATATAAATACATTGTAGATAATAAATAATAACCAAATAATTTATATTTTTTAACATATCTAATATCTATGTCTAATAATAACCCATTTTAAATAATCTCTCCTATTAAAATAAATTATTTCTATGTAAAATGATCAATTTGTATAACTTATTTTTTTTTCGGTGTATTTTTTCATTTAATTTTTTATATTCAGTTGCGTTTTACATTTTGACTGTGATATACTTGATAATGAATTTTTAGTTGGAAACCGGTCGTATAATACGCTTATTATAATACTCCAAGCGACGCATTGATTCATTTATTTATTTTATTTTGATATATAAATGTTTTATTTATTTATTAATTATATATTAACCATGGGTAACCATTTTAATAATTTTGTTTTTACTTTATTATTTTATTAGATAATAATACGTTATAGCACATGACCGCTCGAGTAGAAAACGTGATAAATTTATTTAAAATTTCAAACTCTCGTTTCTCCGAATCAGTGCCTAAGTTCCCTTAGATATTATGTGGGATTAAAGAAGGGCTCTTATACATTATTTTAATACCAGACTCGGTTTAAACCTACCCCGGATCAAGTCGTGATATCGGTTTGAAAATGGTACCTACTATCATAACATGTAGCCGAAATTGTGTAGTGTAGACTGTGGTTGATTTATTCTTATAGTTGCTGAAGTAAGTTAAAATAAAAGCATTTAGTTCAGTGTTAAAAAATTTGTTTTATAAAGTATCTAGGTATCTACATAATAATATTTTAGTTTATTTAGTTAAATGTACGCCTTTAGGCACTTTCATACAAGATTACATGAGAACATTAATTACATAGCAATATTACATAGTGAATACAATTTAATTGTAGTTACAATTTGTATTTATTTTTTATGATAATTTTTGAAGATGTAAGGTACTTATATTAGCATATTGCTCTGGATGAAACCTACCTACTTAAATTATACCTATGTATTAGGTACTTGGTATAGTTTTCAATAAATTAAAAGTGACTATCTATCATTATTTTTTTTGTTACAAAGAATGATTGAAAATAATTCAGATAATTAGATTTATAGTGTGCATTAAAATATATGTTACGTCCCAAATTATCTTGGGATGTATTTACTTTAAAAACAAAATAGACCAGACAAAATTATAAGTGACACTTAATAACAATTCTTAATTTAATTTTATAATCATAAATTGTGCAAAATATAAAAAAGATTACCTATCAATATGAAGGTAACAAAATACGAGGTTTAATTATGAATTTTGATAAAATCATTTCGGAGTAGTTGTTATGCGGCCCAATGTAATATCATATTTATTTACATTCGGACCAATGTTACGATAGTGAACAATTAATTAATTAATTGTATTTCACCAATTATTGCTACGACGGTGTTAGTTCGTAACAGATGACTTTCGTAACATCTGTAGCAACCCAATGGAAATTTATTAACTTTATGAGGTACTGAACTGACATCTAGCGTTATGATTACGACTATAGGGGGTTTTCGGTTTTCACATCTTTACTCCTTTAATATCTGAGGTATAGTCAATTCAAATTACATATTATGACGCTATAGATTAAAGCTGTTTACAAGCGAATTTTAATTCACAATGAAGTTGGAAATTTGGAAATTGCTCAATGCTAGATAATAAAATAAAAATTTATCTGCCAATACAAATTAAGGTGATCAAAATGTAATATTCAACTTAAATAATCATTGATTACCTGTCATACATCTTGATGATTGTGATTACTTTGAAATGTACATAAATATGACTAAATATATAGAAGACATATGCCATTATATAGCTGGATTTGTTGTCAAAAAGTTGTTGAAAAGAGTTGAATTCCCAACTAGCCAAAAATCTTTAATAAAACTTAGATGTAACGCTGAAGACAAAAATAGTTTAATAAGTTTGAAGAATTGAGGAGGGCTGATAATTCCTAGTTACAGTGTTAAAACTCTATGTGGAAAAGTGGAAAGAATATTCAGGGCACATGAACCAATTTATTTTAGTAGAACTAGAAATAAATTGAAATCTAGTTTGTATAAAACAAATAATACATGCATTTTTAGTTGCTGTGACATATGTAGACAATAGAGTTTTTCACAAAAAGCAAGACCAAAATTAACGAAATTAGTATATTTTAAACAAGAATGATTTATATTACCTACCTACGTATAATAAATTCCTTACCTATTGAGATTTAAAATACGTTTAAATGTTGTATTTTTTAAATTTATTTGAATACCTTAATAGTTCATTCATGGCTTGTTTAGCATTGACTTCAATATTATATTATTAATTCCTTAATTCTTTCGTTAAATTCATTATACTCTATTATCATTTATCTATTGTTTTCACCATCATATATTCTTTATTATCTATGATCTAATATTGTTCCCTATTTGTGTTAAAACCTCTATTTTCATACCAATGGTTCGTTCCCGTATGATTAACACCGATGACCTATCCATTATTTAATATCTAAACATGACACTCATTTATTATCAAAACCTAACCATAATCTAAGTGATCTAAACCGTGAACAAAAAAGGCCCCTGGAGTGCGTTCAGAAAGGTTTTCCGAAGTTGCTGGCTGTCGCCAGACTCGTTCAGAAAATATTTGGGGCATGTCGGGGAATTCACCGACACGCCTCTTTTACGTTCAAAAATCAGGTTAGTTTGCCGGATAGTTCACCTTCTTTAACGCACTTCTGTAGGCCGTGAAACGACAGTGGTGTGTATGGTTCAAACCACTTATTACTTTATGGCAATTATTTGATATAATTTTGATCTACTATCACGCTTACTAAATAACAAGGTTTATTATAACTGTTTATTGTTTACGTTTAATTTGATTTAACTTTTTTAAAAAAGTTTCCTTAAGTTGTAGTAGTAAGTTTATGAACTATACTATTACTAATTAGTAATTACAAAAACTAATAAATTACACTAAATAAAAAATATTACCAATTTTTATCCTAAGTTACCTAAGCTTTGAAAAACATTAGAATAATGTATAACATTTTCTATGTACTTTTCAATTCAAATTGAAGATTCTTTCACTAATGTAACCATCATCATCAATACTGAATAGTTAAGTCAGTCTACAATTAAAAATAAATGTATTTAAGTAACTTGCAGCCATGGCTATAATTCCGTTATTAGCCATTTAATATAAAATATAATTAATGATTACATTAACTGGGTAGTATCCTTATCTATTACCTTGTGGCTATCAAACCCTAATCTATTTTTGATAAAACTATAACTTTACTTAGGTAACTTGGTTAATACCTTATTGATAAATTTAAATGGGCGGTGCTACATCTTTGGCGAATTCCCCAGTAATCGTATTTATCGTTTCTGAACGCACCCTTGGTTCCCCGAACTCCATCCGTATACCAAGTTATATAGATTATAATCTATAAACCTTGCTCGTATACATTTTAAGTAGATAATACAATTTAATATTCAATCAAATAATATTATAAAATGTATTACTGGCTGCACTGTTCTAGTGACATGCGATAATTTCATTCACTGTTATCAACAATATTGTTTGAGTTAGCCGACGGGTGACGAGCACATTTTACATATATTTCTTATTCAAAGTTCTCATCGTTGTTAATGTCACAACATTGTTTACCTCATTTGTGCAAGATTTTAATTTCTTTAGTACTCTGTAAAAACATAATAAGTATCGCATATTAACTAAAATTGTCTTCAAACGTCTCAATAAACAATATGCCAATTTATAAAGGTAATTTAAGTAAATTAATACTAAAAACCTATTACTTAAATCTATTGAATAAATGTTTTTTATACAGTAAAAGTGAAATGGGGAAAGGAAGTGTATCCGGACGTAGAAATAAACACAGACGAGCCACCACTTGTATTTAAAGCACAACTGTTTGCTTTGACTGGTGTTAATCCGGTGCGTCAAAAAGTTATGATGAAAGGTGGTACGCTCAAAGATGATGTATGGGGCAATATTCAAATTCTCGAAGGTCAAACTATATTGATGATGGGTAGCAAAGATGAAGACGTCCCTAAAGAACCTACTGTCAAGCCAATGTTTGTTGAGGATATGACTGATTTACAATTAGCGACTGTTGTAAGTTATATTTATTTTAACATTTTTAAACTTACTAAATTAATCTATTATTTGTTTACCAAATCTACAGGATATTAGAAAAAAACAATTACATATTCAAAAATATGTTATTTTATAAATAAATACAGTTACTCTAGAAAGTTTTGTAACATTTTCATATTTAAATGTTTGCACTTATCTTAGAAGATATTATTTTTATGAAAAAACCTACATGCTAAAATTCAATTTTTCAGGAAGCACAAAATATGTTTTAAAAACAAATATTGTTAATAATTGACAGAAATAAATTTTGAAATTGTAAAACCATAAAACTATTTATTCTGAAAAAAATTGAAGATAAAAACTTAATAGTTATGGATAATATATTATATAAATTGTCAATATTTTATCATATAGGAGGTTTTGTTACTTAAAATTGTCTACCAAAATCATATTGTAGGTTTTTCAATGTTATATCGAAGTTATTTCACAAATGATTCAGTGAACACGTGAGAAGTTTTGTTTTTTATTTTTTATTAATTCTTTCATGAAGGATCATATGATAGCTTATTTTTTCTGAATCCAGAGATAATAAAACCTTTTGCATTTTGCACTTGGAAGGTTTTTTCACATCATTGACAATATTTTGTATTGTTTTCTAAATTACTAAATATTTCTACTTTCTTAAACTTAATCCATTGATTGCTTTTTATTTCAAAGCACTTTCTCTAATATAGAATATAGAATGGACATTACTCACTCATTTTTGTATTCTAATACTATTATTAAGTTATAAGAACAACACATCCTCACCTGAGATCTTCGTTTTACAACTCTTATAGAAAAATATGTTTCCGTGGATCTAAGAAGAATACATTCTAGATTACTTTTATTTGCATTCCTGTTACAACACTATATTATTTTTAGCTAGGGTATTTTACATGTGTAACCACTTCTACTTTAATGTTAAAATATTTAAAAAAAAAAAAGTTTATTAAATACTTTCTCTAATACTTTATTCATTCAAAAGTAATTTTTTGGAGTTAACAGAATATTATTCTTGATTTAGTAAAAATGTAATTGATGTTTAGACTAATATGCCTGCGGGTCTCACCAATTTGGGAAATACATGTTACTTGAATGCTACTGTTCAATGTCTTAAAACTGTTCCCGAATTACGACAAGCTTTATCTGATTTCAGTGCAGCAAGTGAGTAAATAATATATTACTTTAGAAACGTTATTATTACTTTACCCATCTTATATATTTCAGCATCTTCAACTTTGTCAGACTTTGCACCAGCTGAGAAAATCACAATTGCGTTAAGGGATTTGTATCAGACTATGCAATCAAATCAAACCATCCCACCAATTGTACTTTTGCAAGTATTGCATCATGCATTTCCTAGATTTGCAGATAAAGTAGAAGGACATTATATACAGCAGGTAAATTTAATAAATATACATGTTTTTTGAATAATTTTTTATGAAGATTTTTCTACTTGTAATAGGATAATTACATACAATTTTGTTTAGTATGAATATCTGTAATCTTTATATTAAAAACGTACTTAATCCCTTGGCTCATCAATTAAATTGTATAAGCATTAATATATATATATCTCTATAATCTACTAACACTCAGTGGTACCAGATATGCACATAAGGTAGTGCATTAGAATTACCTAAAATCTTGATTAAATGGGTGGTAATACACCCTGAATAATTAATACTTTACTATTATAGGTACTTACTTTATATTACACTATTATCATATTATATTTTTGAGGCTGTGGTTCTCTTAAAAATTGAGCCAGATGTTAACCACATTTTAATTGAAGAACAGCACCACACTAACAATTTCTCTCATCCGTAACATTTTTATTTTCAAATCTTCCGAAAAAACATTCTAGTAGATGTCATATTTTCCAATTTTTAAGAAAGTGTTTGTTAGTATTGACCATGGATTCTTAATTGATGTATTGTGTAAGTCTGGATTTGGTGAACCATTATCATAGACTATATTTTTTTAAATGTCGATCAGCGTGACCAATTTGTTCAACTAAAAAAAAAAATAATGTGTAATAAAACATTTTTATTCTACATAACTATTTTGAATCTTTGTGCGTGTATTTTTTTAGTGTTTTGTGATTAAGGAGTAACAAAATAAGTGCGTTCTAATAACATTAAAAATGTACTACAGTTTTACAATACTTAATTATAAATATGATGCTAAATTAATTTGTGTTAAACAACTTACAAATTATTTATTTATTTAAGCACTTTTTTTATTTGTTATTCAAATTATTTTCTTACATATATGTAATATTATATTTCTAGGATGCTAATGAATGTTGGGTAGAACTTATCCGTATGTTACAACAAAAGTTACCAGCCCTAACAACTAAGAATGATGGTATGCCACAACCTGTGAAATACAAGTGAATATTTCTATACTGTTTACCAATATGAATTTTTTAATATTATTATTACTTTATATGTTTAGATCTGCAATTGATCAATTTTTTGGTGGTTCATTTAATGTTGAATGGAAGTGTGTTGAAAACGTTACTGAAGAAATAACCAATACCACTGAGTCATTCCTTCAACTGAGTTGTTTTATTTCCCAAGATGTCAAGTACATGCATTCTGGTTTAAAAAATGTAAGTATTATTCAAATTTTTTTTTGTGTGTAAGAGTTAATTTAGTAAATTTATTTAAAAAAAACAATCCACTACTTTTGCCAACAGAGAATGCAAGAACACATTACCAAGCACTCTCCTGCTCTTGGAAAAGATGCTGTTTATACAAAAACCGTAAGTTTGTTTGAATATAATTTTAATATTTCAGTTATTTTATTAAGATTTTTTTTTTTCAATTTAGTCAAAAATCAATAGACTTCCAGCATATCTAACTATTCAGTTTGTAAGATTTTTCTATAAAGAAAAAGATAAAATTAATGCTAAAATTTTAAAAGATATTAAATTTCCAATCGAATTTGATGCATTTGAACTGTGTACACAAGAATTACAAGAGAAATTGGTACCAATGAGAAACAAATTCAAGGTAAAATCTATTTTTAACAATAATAATTTTGTCAAAATTAGATACTAGTAGTTATTGTGTTATTTTTATATCACTTAAAGTGCCTACCATGTTTATAATGCAGGTAATTCATAGAAATCTGATAAATACAATAACTTTAATTCTGTTTAATATTTTAATAATTTTTTTTTTTTAACAATTACGTACGTGAGACTTTCACTATAATTTTTTTTTTTTTTTTATTGTTTGGTCTTTTTTCAATATTTTTGAACATAGGTCATATTAGTGGCATTTCTTTACTAGGATAACTGGTATTATTCAATTTGTAATAATTCTTTTAAATAATAATAAAGGAATTAGAAGATAAATTGGCCCATGAAGTAGTAAAGCCAAGTGTGAAAAATATGGGAGATTCTAAAGAAGAAAATAAACCAACTGCCCCATATTGGTTTAAAGATGGTAAATATTATAATTTATTATACATATTCTATTTGATAACCTTCTCGTTTAATTTTCCACAGATTATGGTTCGAATAACTCTGGTTACTACACTCTTCAGGCTGTTTTAACCCATAAAGGTAGATCAAGCTCTAGTGGTCATTATGTTGGTTGGGTTAGACATTCCCCAACGTCTGATAAATGGGTAAAATGTGATGATGATACAACTACACCGGTAGTGTCTGAAGATATACTTAAATTGTCTGGCGGCGGTAATAATTTAATATATAATATGTTTAAAATCAATATTTAAATAAATGCAAACTTATATTTTGTACAGGTGACTGGCATTGTGCGTATGTACTTCTATATGGTCCAAAACTTCTACCACAAGAAACGCCATCAGGGTCCAGTTGAATTAAATTTTTTAGGTCTTATAAAGATTTTCTTTGTTAAAACAAAAAATGAAAAATATAAAACGCATTATTTTTTATTAAAAGTATAAAAAGAAGTACATATTTTTGAATAACGAATAACACTCAAAATATTGTCAAAATAATTTATTTAAAAATACATTTTTTTTTTTTTTTAATTTGATACATTGTAGTTTGTTTATTATTAACATTGTTATCATTTGTTTTATAACATAAGGAATACTCTGCACATAAAGTTAGTAAATATAAAATTAATTAAAATTATTAGTAAGGAATAGAATACTTAGTCTCCAATATTGCCGACCCTATTTAGAATATAAATTGTTATAATAATACAGTTATATTGACTTTTTAGCTTTAAAATATCCAAAAAAACTTAATTCGGTGAAGATAATTTACATCTGAAAAAAAATAGTTATTAATTATGTTAGGCATTTGCTATTAAAAATTCCAATAGAATTACTGTATATTTTGGTGTTAGTTCATATTTTTAATACAAATTGTATACTAAATATCAATAACTGTGATGTACTTGGTTGTAAATTCCTTAATTGTTTTTGATTTGATTATTAAGTGAACAGTAATAATTGTTTGTTTAATTTGTATAATAGTATTTAAAACAAAATATTAAATAAATTAATGAGACATTGATTACTTAAAAGGGTATATCCACGCCTAACAAACATTTATTGAACATTGGTCAAAATATGTTAACCAAACTTCTAAAATATCAAGGAAACTTATGATTTATGTAGATGCGTTTTTAAACATTAGTTTGTCTAAATCAAAATACTTGTCTACTAAGTGAATATAATAAACAAACAATTTGAATTTAATCAATTTTACAGATAAATAACACATTTCAAAAATAAATAACTATAAAACTATATCTGTTATAGTAACTGTTTTGATATTTTAAAAATTTGATGAAACAATCTATTATTTTAGAAAATTTTATATTAATCAAATTAATTAGAAATTCAAAATGAACACTCTAATTCTATCTTAAAGTTACTAAATAAACCATTGTCATATAAAATTTAAAAAAGTCTCGTCACAGTAGGTTTTTCTCTGTTAGAAAAGTTATATTTCCCACTATATTTATTTTTTTGACATGTCAAGAGGTTAAAAAAAAATACAACCTTGGCAACAATAACTATTATAACAATACAATTCCTATCATTAAAAGATATTAGTAAGAAACTAAGCAACGGTAATTTCCCCAGTATTATTTTGAGAGATAAAAACTTACAGAGTAATATGTTCCCAAATACACATTCGAACATTTACAAACAGAAAAATTTATTTTGTGCTTTTTGTATTATAAACCATTACTTACAATTACTTGTTGATATAAACCTCAAAATCAGTAATATGTTTTATGCCTTGATATAATACTTATTAATGATCTTGTTTTTCCCAAAAGGGATTTTTTTTTTTTTTTATAATTCAGTTAAAAATATTCGTAAACTTGAAATTTGTATGTATACAGTGTGTCCTACAATATTTAATGGATTTTTCTAGAGCTGTTAATAATATATATATTTTTTTTTAATTGGTGTTTCTTTGGGGGGGGGGACACATCAATATTATTAAATATTAATTGTTTTCTAGAAATTAAATTAAATGGCTATTATTAAGAAACTTCATCAGATATGAATGTGTGGCACATTAAAATTTTTAGAAAAATATCTTTTACAAAATGACTATTTTAAAAATTTTGTAAAATTAATAAATAAATTTTATTTTTTTTATTATTAAAAAAATGAAAATAAAAATTGTATATTTGTCCAAATCAATGTCTCCCTCCAAAAAACACCAATTAAAAAAAAAAAATTAAAAGTATTAACAGCTCTAGAAAAATCAATTGAACATGGTGGGACACACTGTATGTATATATGTATATATATATACAGAGTGATTTTCTTATCATTGATTACCCATTATTTCGCATAATATAGACTTTTTAAAAAAATACCTACTAAATTTTGCCAACTTTTTTATTTTACCACTAAAGGCAACGCATAAAGGCACAACATTATTTCATGTTAAATCGTTTTAAAACATTTTTGTTTGGCAAAAAAACTAGGAAATTTCAAATGCCTATATGTAGTTCAAGAATCGTCAGAATGTTTTGAAAATTTTACTTAATTTAGAAACAGCTAATATAAGTACTCAGAGAAAATGTCAGGTCTAAAATTATTTTTAACCAGATAAAAATCAAAAGAACAAATTCGAAAATGGTGGAAACTGTTATTGAGTAAATTTTCCTATTTTTTCCCTGTGTAATAAGAAAACTATAAGGAAAATCAAAAAATAACTTCCTTAATGTACTAAATAAATACAATTTTCTTTCAGAAATAAACTTGAAGATTGCTACAAGATTTTTGGCAGAAAAGATGTTTAAATAAAGCGTCAGAATATAAAAATATTAACTATGTTCTTTAAATATTATATTGTGTTTAATAACAATAATATGAATTTATACATTTTGGTACCTTTAAAGACAAGTTAAATTTTTGTGAACCAAAGTTTAAAAATATATAAGTAGGGTATATTGATATAAATTTACTAAGCAGTAGATATACCTTTTCTTATGAGCATGTAGAGATTCTTGTCCGCTATCTTCTTCACTAGAATTTCCATTACTGGAACTACTTGAACTACTAGAACTACTCGAACAACTCGAACTGTCTGATGCAAGACCTGTGTGATTCTTTAAATCTACTGAGTCAGCAATTGCTGCTAACTCAGGTTCTTTGTTTTTTAAGACTTTATACCACTTTCGTGACAGTTTAGGACGTCCTCTAACAGTTTTATGCCATACCACAGGGAAATTTGTACGACTACAAAAATTTTGAGTTACTGCTATAGTGGTATCTAGGTTGAGTACTACATGCCACCATCCACCAGGTACATACACCGTTTCACCAGGACCTTGAAGTATCTCTATCTAAAATTAATAAAAAAATAAATAACTACAATACTAATTTGATTTAAAATTTTTACATATTTTGGCATATAAATTATTTATATACATTACAAAATAGCTAAATATGGGTCAGTTATTTGGGACACTCAAGTATAGTTGCTTGCCCCAAATTGAGTGTCTCAAGTAAATTTCTTAGCTTTTAGCCTATGTATTAAAAATACCATGTCCACCATATTACTGTAAATTTATCCTTAAAAAACTCAATCTCCCATCTCTTATAAACTAACATAATCATAACCTTTTTTTTTCATAATCAAATTGCTAGTGCAATTTATTCTCCAACCCTTCAATATTCATTTTGAAGTACTTTCTTGTCCTACACATAGTAAAACATAATTTATTTTTCAATATCACATTATTAACTTTTACAAAATGAAATCTCGTGATACTAGCTAATGATGACTTTCTATTCGCATTTGTTTAAATTACAATTATAAAATATAAATAAAACTAACTGGTGTACAATCCTTAGGCCATGAAGGCAACTGAGTACGAGGATAGATTATTTTAAACCAAGTAATTGCTTCGTCGCGCTGTTTTCCGCCTTCGGCCGAAGTGACTTTGAGTAATCCTTTAGGAGTATGAGTAGGAAACAAACACCATCTAATAAAAAATGTTAAATAATTAACAAGTATAATATAATATTAATATTATAATTAATACTTCATTACTAATTTGGTAAATAGACTACCTTTTATGTCCAGTAATTAACGAATTCCAAGCACTGGTTCCTAAAGGATCTATGTGAATTCCTGTTCCTGATCTAGAAGAGCCCATAACAAACCATCTATAAGGGGGCCTTTTTTTTTCGCCAGCATATTTAAATAAGTCATCTTGAAAATATATGGGTATGTCGTAATCGTCTAATAATTTTTTTCTTCTATGATGCTGTATAAAGAATTCATACAACCAAGCATGTTTTAATACATAATATTTATATGGATGTTAATCATAGGGAATAATTGAGAACTTGTGATACGGCTGATTAAAAAAATTAACATGTCAAATCTCATATCAGTTAAAAACTTGAATTTAAGGAGGGAGAGTAAAAAAGAGAAGACAAAGGCTCCCCGGTACATTGTATCACATAAATTGTTTATTATCAAGTTTGACAATGAACTAGGCCATTAATCTAGCCATGATCAGTCATATTGTATTTTGTCAGTATTTAAATAGGGATCTCTACCTGTATGTTATAGCAGTATGCTGTTACCTAAGCACAACATAATATTGTTGGACTTAAATAAGCCCAAAATTAAAAACTATACAAAAATATACAGGTTCATTGACTCAACTTGAAACACTCACTATTTCGAAAAGTATTAACTTTTTTCGGAATTTGTTTTAAAGAACATTTAAGAAAGAATCCACTCTAGAATTTGTCACCTTTATTTATGGAGGTAAAACTAGTAACTACTACCTAATATTGATCTTCAAATGGCAACCTGTATTAAAAATTTAATAAATAGATGGAGTTTTAGTTAAAATAAATATTGGTGTGGAAATTTTTGATTTCTATCAATCCATTAACGAGATATTTCACTTCTAGGTTTGGATTAGGCGAGAATAGTAGTACATCATAAATATGGCAACACAGCACGCAGCGTTTTAATAATTTCTTAGGTATTTGAAATAAAAAAAATTCCCAAAAAATTAATACTTTCCTAGATAATAGTTGAGTTGAGTGAATTACCCTGTATAAATATTACAAAATACATATATATTTACTTAAAATAGCATTAAAAAAAATTAATTTAACATACATCACCAAAACTACTATCGAATATATATAAAGGACTATCATCCTTATTGTTATTCATATAGTGTACAAAATATTTCATTTTCATTTTAACACTATATCCTTGATTATCTTCTCCACATTTAAACCTTTGGTTACGGTATTTTTTATTAATTCTCTAATTAAATAAAAAATTGTCACAAGTATGAATAAACAAATAAATTATTATAATAAATATACCTCTAACGTCCATTTATATGAAGCTTTCCAGTTGCTTTGTAATCCTCTAATCACAACTGGTTTATAGGGACGCTCATATTTTTCAACAAATATTTCCGGACTAACATTTTCAACATTAATTCGATCCACATTATCTTGAACTTTTATGAAAGTCTTAAAATTGTCTGCATAACCATGAGTAAACCATGCATATTTGTCATTTAGTTCTAAAGAAAAATACATGGTGAATAATTTAAAATGCACTTATAAAACATGTAGGTATATATAGTATTTTTGAGAAAAATATCTTAAATAAATCAAGAGAACACTATAGATTGAAAATAGTCACATGATTTAAAGCATTTTGCAATTTTAAACTTTATTTAGTCTCAAATTGAAACAAGAATAAATATACAATACCTACATAATTAATTCATTATAATTATTTACAAAATTTATCAAAAAAAATTAATTTTTTTAAAGGTTCTTAATTCAAAAGCTAAATTCTTATAATTTTGTCATGTCCATCTGTCTGTGTGTCTATTATTATGTGACGGGCTTACTCTGCCAGTTTTTAATAGATTTTGATGCAATTTTACAGGAAGGTGTCTTATGTAATCAGCCACACAATTGAATAGTCAAAAAATAATCTACATTTTTCTAAGCATAAAACCGGGGAATAAAATTTGTATTATTCGAACACAACATTGTGTCTACTATTATTGAAAGTCTTTAAAAATACAATAAAAATTCTTGTGTAATATATTTTATAAAGACCAATATTTTGAGACATATAGGCTCATAAAATGTATAATAAAATTACCTCCCCTTTAACTTCCCAAACTATTTAATCAAAAATTTTGAAAAATTCAATAAACTACTCAACGAAAATTATTTTGAACAAAATATTTTAAAATATATAACATAAATACACATACTCACTAAGGAAGTGAAGTAACATACATTGATGTGTGTATGATACACTTTGATCAGTTTTTATTATCGTTTAAAAGCATAAACATGGGAAATTAAATTTTGTATTTCATTTAATTCTTAATTATTTTACTTCTAAGTAGTTATTGCAATTATTAGTAAAAGTTTTATTTACAATCAATGTGAATATAATAAAATCAATATTCATGATAATAATTGTGCAGATAGAATTCATAGACAGACATTTAAAACAAGGTACCTAACCTAATCTAAGCTAACCTATTTAATGTATTATTACTAATTATACTATTTATAGTATTTTTTCTGGAAATAATATTGTAGAAAAAGTAATTGGGTGCCTATTTATGATTATACTTGATACACCAGACTTCATATTTCATTGTGAGACTTGATAGATTTCACTTGAAAAAATTCAAATCCAACTATTATATTTTTATAATTACTTAGTAGTAGTTTTTTTATTTGATGATAATTAAGAATAATAATAATAATCCATTTCAATAATTAGAATATAAATATATATTTATACTGCCCTACTAAAGTGAAAGGCAGTATTTACAGGAAATACAATTATTGAAAAAAATTGGTTTTTCTTATTTTTGAAATTCAATTCTGATTTCAGAAGCATATTTGGTTTAAGTTAGAAATAATCTTAAACAGTTTTGGATATTCTCTTAATATAAATAAAACAAATTAAATGATAATTTCAAAGAAACAAATTGTAGAACAGATATTCATGAGGGGCTAGCATATAGTAAAATTTCAGAAGTTTAAATATCTAGCTATATAAGTTAGTTATACAACACTTAATAAAAATTAAATACAGGAGAAAGCTATTGGTGCATTCCGTAAAATGTCTAAGATATTATATTTTTTTGGTTTTATTATATGAAGCTGAAATTTGAGCTATAATAAAAATATCAAACAGGAAAATTGAGTCTAGAAACGTGTCTGTATCGTCAAATTCTAAAAATATTACATGAATAAATTGTAATAGTAGAAATAATCTGTGATTTATATGAATAAATAAGAAAAAAATTAATGTTTTATTTCATTTTATATTATAGTTTACTTTAAAAATTTTCAGGTAATATTACAATGTTTTTTTTAAGATTTGTTAAATAAAATTATAGTGCATACATTAGTTATTTTCATTGCTTTATAATCTGTGCCCTGCTAATAACTATTCTAACTATTAGAAAATAAAAAGTAATCAAACATTACTACAATTAATACTTTTATGTAAAAAAAGTAGGAAAAGTATTGGGAAAAGGTTGAAAATGGTTGAAAAACCGTTTAGATTAGTTTGGCGTAACATTAAGTGTAAAAGAATTAACAAAGAAAAATATTTATTATATGATTCCAACATATAAAACGAATAGAAATTCCAAAAAAAAAATAATTTGCATTGAATTTTAATAGTATGTTAAACTACAATATTAGTATCTGTTCAATTATTAACATGTCTAATGTAAATTGCAGACACAGGTCTGCAATTAACAGTTGTCAGTTAATTTCGTAGTACCCAACTACGAAATGTATGATATAGGTACTGAATTTTCTTCAAGGAATTCATTTACCACTTATTTATCTAGTAATAGGTGAAATTTTGGTAGACAATTAATTTTAAAAGATAATTTTTTACTTTTTGTTTACCTTCATCCCAACTTTTTGAGGTCAGCCACCCTCATACTAAACATTCACTTGACCCACATTGCACACACCAGTTGTCCTTGTATCTTTCTTAATCAAATCCAATTACTTCTTTTTAAGTCTTTCTCTCTTTCCTCCTACTTTTATTTTCACTATAATTCTTAATTGTTTCTGGTTCCTCTTCTCTTCTCATGACATACCCTTACCATATCAGTCTATTTTCCCTCATTTTTTAAACAATTTTCAGTATTTAAATGATGTTTTTTTGCATTAATAGAATTACAAACTAGCAAAACCAATATAAAAAAGTATTATGATTCAATAAACAATAATCTGCAATATAATTTTTGAAAAATTGGAAGTTGCTATCTCTCATTATGGCAGAGCAATATTATGGCTATTACAATCTACCTACCTACTTATATATTTTTTTGATTAGTATTACCTGGTCTGGCTTTATTCTTGGCTTCCTGAATCCTCTTCTTCGTTCTAGATTCTGAACTATTAGAGGAGTCGCTCATATTATTAGATTGTTTGATTTGCTCAAATAAAAAAAAATAAATTATGTTTCTTTAAATAATTTATTTTTTTTATCTAAACGTAATGCAAAAAAGTACAAAAATAATTCTGTTCTACGTCTTGAGCTTTTCAATGATTAAATTTAAAAATATCAAACCACATTTATTTTGAAATAAATAATCTAGTATATTATAATTTTACCTATTTGTATATCTAATTAATAGGTATACTGTGGTATTTAATATTTATATTTATACCTCATAACAATAATTAATATAAAATTTTATAAAAATAAAAATATTCTTATAGTCCAACTATGAGTTATCTAGTTTTATTTTGAAAAACAAAACCATAACCTTATATTTTCTAACCATTCCTTTACTAACACAGATAATAATTTACTATCAATGTTGATTAAGAATTCAACCATGGGTATCAAACGATAAAATTGCAAGACACCTGAGCGAAAATAAGAATTTTTTTTAGATACGTCGTTCAGTCAAAAATAAATAAAATACTATTTTACCCGGCATGATTTTTACATAATAAATCGGGGATTTATTTTCTATTTATTTCCTGTACTGGCTTTTCTTTATCTAGAACCGATAAACGCACCAGAATTTTACAATAATTTATTTTATTATTTAAAATTTAATATTCAAATATTACTAATTTAAATAGAATAATAGATATATAAATTACGCTTTCAGATCTTTATTATACTAGATTTAAAAACTATGGCACAAATTAATGTAATATCTTAAATCCCAGTCAATGATTATTATTTATCCTTAATATTCTCGAATAACTGTTTCATACCCATTTATAATAACTTATTATAAGTGGTTATTAAACCCATAGTAATATTCTAGAATTAAACCGAATAGGATCTTAGATAATAAAAAATTTTAACCTTTAATAATCTAAGACCGTGTAATTAGTTAAGATTATTTTAGTTCATGAATCATGACTATGTATAGGACACGGACATAAAGTATATCTCGTGGGTGGGATAGGATCAGTAAATCACTTAGTACCACGGTTTAAGATATCTTAAATTTATATATACATAGTATATCTTAAACCGTGGTTAGTAACTTACCTCTGATAAGAATTTGAACATCGCGACTTCGGTTATAGATAAAACGTAGTAATCACGTTCGTGATTTAAATATTATAATCACAACCACTTCTAACCGCGATTATAAAGAACGTATATATAATAGTAAATAATCCTCTGTTATAGCATATTAAATTTATAGCAAATACAATAAATATTTGCCCATAATATAGTTCTATACAATTCTTTGTAATTAATAAGCTTAAATAAATTATTATTATAATCCATTATTTTGATTTACTAATTAAGTTTTATGCATTGGACATTATAAACATTGTAACATTAATTACCCAAATATACTGTACATACATTAAGTACTTGTTTGATTTATTAAAATAACCACTTTATATTTGAAAATGTCTGATGAAGAGAATGATCGTTTCGAAAACGAACTACGTTTATTGACCAAAGATTTTAAAAATATTCCACGTACACCAAGTGCTTGGGAACAAGATATCCATGATATTGATGAAGACCCAAATCCACATGGTAAAATTTAAATAATAATAATTAATAATACAATAGTTATATTAGTTTCTGATCTACAACATTAACTCAGAAGAGAACTCATTAAATATCAATTATTATTATGTAAATTTTAAATTTAAATTAACACGCATTGGTTTAACTAAGCTTTGAGTAATAAGTTATTACCAATTTAAAACTAATAATTATATATTCTATAGTATAATTTATATATTTGATCTAATTTATAATTTTTTTCTCAAGAAAATTTGTTAATTTAATATCAAGTTTAAAAATATTGTTGTGAAAAATACAATGGGAAAACTATACCGAATGGTTATAAGCTTACAGTATCTTAATTATACAATGTGATCTCGCTCATTTTTGTTCAGTAATATTTATTTTTTCCAATATTCTATGAGAAAGAAAAAAAAATATTGAATTAATCAAAGTTTCAGATTACTCCAGCAATACTTTACCCGTGTCAGGGTTGAGATAAAAAAAAAAAATACCTACTTGAATAAGTCATTTTGGATTTTTGAATTCCCTCAATCAATGTTTACCCTTCCTGTCCCTATAAAATGTATAGGATAATAAAAAATTAAGATTATTTTGTTAATGATTTTAATTTCCTGCCTAAATATTAATATTACAGATAATAATGAAATAGATTATAATATATTTTTAAAATAAAAATACTTTGTACTGATATATCTATAAGTATTACATGTTTATTAGACACTCCAGAACAAGAAGTTTTATGGGCAGCTGAAAAAGGCAATTTGGATTTGGTTAAATCTTTGGTATCAGAACATAGTTACTTAGTCGATGTTTGTGATAAAGATGGTTATACACCATTACATAGAGCATCTTACAGTAACCATTTATCAGTTATCGAGGTTAGCAATTTAGTGTAGAGTATCTTGGTCAATGCTGTAACTGAAATATTAATTTTGTCATATTATAGTATTTATTGGAAAATAATGCAAATCCAAATGCTCGTACTGAATTCTATTGGACACCATTACATTCAGCTTGTAAATGGAATAATGTAGATTGTGCGGAAAAACTCATAGAAGCTGGGTCAGACATAAATGCTACGACTGCTGGTGGTAATATTTATTAGAACTGTCACAACACATATTAACATAATACAAAAAATATGTTTTTTTAATATAAATGTATGTACTTTAGGTTTAACACCTTTACATTTAGCAGCGGAATTAGGTGATTCACATGACCTCATCGAACTATTATTATCTCAGCCAAAAATTGAACCAAACGTTAAACTACCAAATAACATAGGAGATACTCCAAAAGACATTAGTGGCCGGAGAAGTATTAATGACCGTCTTTTTGAATACACTGAACCATGCTTTAGTTATTTATAATAACTTTATTTTATCATTAAATAAACATTGCAAATAATTTCATACAATTTAAATTTTAACTGACAACATTACCCTAATAAGCAGAGCTTGTAAATGGTTGTAACAAGTTCAATACATTTCATTGTCACATAAATGATATTTAAAATTTGTATAGATCTTTAATAGGATATTATACCTACATCTACTGTCTCAGTCCAACTACCAGGTAACATACATAAATAATGTTTACACAGAATAAGTAAAACTAGCTGATTTTGATTTAAAATAAAAGTACCTATCACAAAATTCACAGGAAAAAATATTTTGGAGGAAGTTATTGGTTTTTATTGAATTACGATCTATTAAAATAGTAAAAAATAAAGGTTTTTGTATCTTTTATATTGATCTATAAATTTTGAATAATACAAAAACCCTAAATTTCCTTCAAAATATTGTTCTTAATATGTACTTTTACTCTAAAATCAAAATTAAGCTAGTTTTACTTATGCATAAGCATTGTTTATGTATGTTACTCGGTAATTGGACTGAGACAGTAGATGTCTTTACAAGCTTAAACTAAACTTCTCCATCCATCCATAATTTTCTAAGGTGTCTTCCCATCTTTCTGATTCATCTACAGCTACGATATTTTGATAACCATCTTTGCCTTGGCCTTGCGCATAGTCACTATTTCCTAGATTAATCAATTTTTTTATTAGCTTACCAAATAGCATGTCCAGCTCTTTTCAGCCATAGTATTTATACTAAGTTTAAAAAGTGGTAAGTTCTCTTTTGAAACTGTAGATAACAATAATACATTCAGAATTTGTAACCCTTTCATGGCTTAAATACACAATACAACTTACTTTATTTTAAGTAGCAATTTTCCTTCAGATTCAAATAGATTGATATTTTCAATTAAGCAATTTTAATAATAAAAAAAAGTTTTAAACTCAAAATTGTCAGAGCTACTTTAGTTACTGAGGTTATTATTTTTCTTATAATGGTTTACTCACTCGTACACCTGTAACTATAGTATATTATATTGTTTTATGAAATTATCAGTTTAACTAAATTATAACAATAAATTACAGATTTTACAATTAAATATAGCAGTATTTAGTATTTAAATATGCATATTGAAATCACAATATTAGACTTAATTATTTTTGTCAATAATAATATTTAAACTATTATAAATAAGTAGTACTATGCAAACAGGTTGTTATCAAAATTGTGCCTTATATTAATATAGAAAATATAAAAATATCTCACTTAAATTATTATAAATTCAATGTCATTCAGACCAAAGACTAATACAAGGTCCACAAGAAACAATTAATATTTTTTTACTGGGATGTGTACTAATTGAATTGACGGATTGTGTATATGAAACATCATTTGATTTCAACTTCTCTATAAGTTCAGCGCTTACAAAATCCCAACACCAAAGATTTCCACATGTTGATCCACTTATTATTGTACTATCATTATGAAACACACAATTTTCAATAAAGTAATCATCCACTTTGTGACCTGTGTATCTAAAATAAAAAATTAAAATACTATGTAATTAGATATTTAATTATGACTTGATAAACTATAGTTAAAATATTAATGTGTACTCATTCAATAATTCTCCTTTTTGTCTATCCATTAATTTCAGTGTATTATCTGTGCAGCTAACTAAAGTGCACATGTTGTCTTGTGTTGAACTGATGCACGATATCGGCTCTATAAATATATATTTTAATGGACATAAAAGCAAAAATTTATAAATAATAGATATTATAAAGACAGTGCTTACTTCCAATAAAGTCAGAATCTAAACTACCCATTCTTATGTCATAAGTTCGTAAAAAACAATCTAGGGAGCCAGTTAGGATTTGATAACCAATAACTAAAACTTTAGTAATGCTATCTTTAGCTTCTTTTAAAACCTATAATTTTAATACATGTAAATATTAAAAAGTTAAAATATCAAATATTGTATTGTAAATTTGTAAAAGAAGTCATCTTTATAATTGTCAAATTATAGTGATAAGAAGTATAAGAGAGATCGTTTGAAAAAAGCAATTGATTTAGTGGAATAAAAAAGAATATTATTGAAGTTTTACCAGAGATAAGGTTAGATGGAAGTAGAAGAGTAAAAACCCCTTAGGAACTTGAGAGTTGTCATGGGGAAGACAAGGAAACTTAAGATCCTAGAAGTACCTACGTTGTTTCATTAATTATTGAATATTTTTTATTATAGAAAATGATTACTAAAAACTACTACAAAGTAAAACAATAATTTATAAATATAAACAATTTGTTTAAATACATACTTGAATTGGGCTATTACTACGACTTCTAGTATCCCAACAACAAACAGTGTTATCATTTGATCCAGATATCACAACTGAAGAATCTTCATTATACTTGACACAATTTACTGTAGCGGCATGTTGTCGCAATCTTCGTTTTACTCTTCCATCAGATACATCCCATAGTACAATAGATTTATCAGCGCCACACGAAACTAATTCACTTAAAAATTAATTTTATCAATTTGTAATGACATTAAAATTAATAGGTATTAAGTAAGTACCTGCTATCGCATGAACCACAAGTATCCATTACACAATCGCCATGGCCAGCATATGTTTTCAAACACAATTCTTTGTATGGATTCCATAATTTTATCTTCTTGTCACTACCACACGTTAAACAATATTCACCATCAACTAAACAAAACAAAAGTTAACAAAAAAACATAGTAATAGGTATACTAACAATTTCAATAATATATGTTACCATTAAACCTGACAGCACGAATAGCACCTTGGTCACATTTGATAGTTGCTACACGCTTTAAATCCATTTCGTTTTGTTGTTATAAGACGTTAGATCGTTAGAAGGTATAAAAATATGTGAGTGAAGTATACACAAAATAAAATCTAGTGTCTATAGAAATAACATTGATAACAATGATTCACTTAAAACCCAAAGAGTATCTTTTTTCTGTGATTACTCTTGAATTAAAATCACAGGCTTATAGATTATTACCGTGATTATTAGTTTAGATAGTAATCGTATAATCGCTCAACGAGTGAACTGCTTGTGATAATTTGGAACCCGATACATCAATGTTTTTTATTGTTCGGTATATTTTCTTTAAATATTTAGTTGTGTACGTACATCGATTATTGGCGCATATCTAGTTTAATTGTCTACTAGTATGTCTGTTAATATTTGACTAGAGCTAAATAATAATTATTAAGACATGTGCGATTGAAGCCATACTTTGATCAATAAAATTATATTGATTTTATTTACTCAATTGGTATTTTTAGAATTCAAATATTTTAGGCGCACAATGCCACAATCACCTCGGGAAAATCAGATTACCAGTAACTAGGTGATAATATAAATTAATATAAATTCCATCAGTTGTAAGCACTGTGTGTCCGTCATGAATAACACACACACACTTGTTTGATTTGATAAACAATTGAACAGATTAAGTATTTTGGGCGTGTTGTTTAACAAAATTCAAATTGATATTTTTATTTTTTTATTATTAATTTAGTAATGTAAGTTGTTAAATTCATACTTTTTAGTAAGACTTTCAAATATAAGCCCCATCTATAATGCCATCCACTCTATGTGTATTATGCACAGGCTTACTTGTTTTGTACAGCATTTACTCTGGTAAAGACTATAATTGTTTATTGAGTACTTTATGTTTATTGTTATTATTTAATTTTCAGTATGTGGTCTCATGTGTTGGCATTGTGACTCTCTCCATGACCCCAAATGCGTGGATCCATTTGATAATCACACGATGCCTATGAAAAATTGTAAGGACGAAAGTTTAGAAACATTTCCTGGTATAAAACCCACAATGTGTCGCAAAATAAGACAAAAAGGTATACGATAATAAATAATTAGAGTCCAGAATTATATGTTTATGTTTATTTATGGTGTAGATATATTGGTTCAAAATGTCATTGATTCATATCACATCAAATTGTATTGTTTATTTGGAGGATTATTAGCAATGTTGTATATAATATGAATATTTAAATATATAACTAATTCAACTTATTCAATTATAGATGTATCAAATTAACAAAAAAAAAATGTTCATATTGATTCTTAGGGGAATTTTGTTAAAATATTAAATGGAATTAAGATTTTTATTTTAATTAAGTTTTCTGTTAGATACAGACTATGTTTTTATGACTAATTAAAAATTTTCAATAATATCAATAGTGAAAATTATAGAATATTTGAATCTATTGAAAGTGTTTCAAGAGGACATCACAGTAATATTTGTGTCTGTTTATCTTATTGTCAATATAGTGTTTTCATAATCCAATAGTATTCAGAACTTAATAGACTTAAAATAAAAATTATTTCACTTAACTAAAAATGAAAACATTTACTATTTTTTTCAAAAATTGTTTTGTATATTCATCATATAAAGTTTTATTACTGTTTTTGTTTGTTTTGTGTTTGGAATAAAAATAGACTGTATGGAAAATATATTCCTAATTGCCCCATATTATATGATGAGTATACAAACAAAAAATCTTTGAAAAACAGTAAATATTTTCATTTTTAATTGGGTGAAATAATTTTTGCTATTAAAAGTGGATACATACTAGAATATTTCGGAATTTGTAATGTAACATTTTGATGTAACTATGAATACTCACATGTGTAAGCCATTACTGTATCAATCGGGTGTACTTGGTATGTGACGTGGTCGCTCCACTGGGTTGTCAGTTTTTTAATAAACATCAAAGGAATGTTACATTGCATAATGCTGTTGGTATGTACAGTGAACCAGTTGCTCATTGCGAATTGACATTGTGACCACATGATGGATCAGCAGCAAACAACACATTCAGTATACTGTTCAAAGTAATACACGAATAGTGTTAGGAATGTGAACTCAACTACAAACACATGTTACATTACACCAAAATTATTTAGTGTGTATCCACCTTAAGATCCTGAGTACTATTGGAAGTATAAAAACAAATTTTTTTAGATTCAGAATGAAGCGAAGAAACTTATAGTTTTACAAAGATGTTTATTTTTTTTTTCTATCTGTGCGCAACTTGTCTATCAGAAGATTTGCTCAGATTTTTAAGTGTAGCACCTTTTCTGAAAGAAAATCGGTATGGGAAGGTACTTTAGGTAGGTCATTTTTCGATTTTCTCAAGAGGTTTCCCTGCAAATGTGAAAAACTGGGATGAAACATGGGAAAAATGTAGATAAACTGGGAAAATCAGTACAACATTTAACAAATTTTATTAAAGAAAATATATAAAGCTTATTTAATTATTTTACTATAAAATGACATATATATTGTTGATAAAGCATCACTATCAACTGAATTCCACTTAGAATCATTTGTTTCATAAGCAATGGTTTATCGTTGCTTATAGGTATACATTAAATTATCTACAACAGTGGCTGTACCCATCCCCATTATCCTAGGACATATTTTTTTAAATTGTATGATAGATATGTCATCCCATCTATTGAAAAGCCCTCTTAATTTTCATTATTTTAATTATTTTTTTCAGTACTGATAAGTGTAAAAGTAATTTGTACATTTTTGTTATTAAGATAAAATGCATAGCCTTTACGTAATGTCATAATATTTGATATTTTTCAAATACATATACTTCCAGGCTCTAGTAATAATAATATGGCTTGTTTAAAAGCTAAGTGTTTTAATAGGTATTAATGTTTTGTTATTGTTTCCATTCTTAATAGTTTATGGAAAATGGCGATATTACCGAAGTTGTGCTTTTTTGGGTGAACCAGGCATTGGTGGCGATGAACGATATTGCTTGATGAGAACAGGCACACATAATATATTTACTGAATATTGTACTTGCAATTCCAGAGATGGGTGCAATAGTGCATCTGCAATTTCTTATTCAGTATTAAGTTTAATATTATCACCTTTTCTTATTATTTTCAGAATATTAACATGAGTTTTACATAAATAAGTAATGTCTGAACAATACAACTTTTATATGAAATATTAAATCTATTTTTTATAGCCTTTAAAAAAAAATTTATCCTTAATAGTTGCAATTTAAAAGGAATTGATAAATCTTTTTAAAACTGTTTTATTTATGTGTAGCTTATGTTAATTTAACATTGTTTATTTGTCTTCAGTTCTATAGTAGCATTATTGTTAGTGTGTAATTACATTATAATAGTTGTAATTGATAAACTGAAAAATGTAAACGATCCGTCCAATTTTTACATTATATTTATTATTTAACCACAAACAAAAATTTGTATCAAGAAATATTGTTATAATTAAGGTTTTAATATTTATATATGTATGATTTTTGTTTGTTCTCAAACAACTAAAAATCTCTGTCTCACGAGGATCCATGCATCATATTTTAATGTATACAAAAGATATAGAAAATATATTTTGTCAAAAATTTATTTTAGGCTGTAAAAAGTCTATTTATTTTAGCTAAACATAGCATTATCTCTCGTGTGACAGAGTAAAGATTAGTTTATTACAACCTTAATATTAAGCTTAAGTTTAAAATTCTTATAGTTCACATCATACAATTTAAAATTATTTACAATGTTACGGTTTTATTTGTGTATCAGTATTACAATTTTTTTTGTTCATAAGTGTAGATTTATTTAATTTTTATTGATTTCATTAATCTATTTAAATATAATTTTAATGTTAAATTTAGAACAATAAGATTATAAACGACTTAACAACATTTTAAACGCTACTTTTATATTTAAAAGGATTTAATTATAAATAATATTACTAGCATTTCTAAAGTTTTTAATAATTTGATTATGTAACTACAACTTTTTGAATAGTCTGTATAATATTTAAGTAAATTTTTGTAAACTGGTATCAACAAAATGTGAATATTTTAAAATATATTTTTATAATACGTTGTTCATTTAAATTTAAACACAAATAATTTATAAGTTACAATTTATTAAATTGTTATTTTTTTAAGTATTAATAAAACTAAATTATTTCCATTACAGTTTTGTAACTATTTTAATATTAACATACATTTAACTAAAGTTATATTTAGGTTAAATTTATTTTATTGTCTCATAAAAACTTAAAAAAATTTAAATTTTTATTCAATTATTGAAATTGGAAACTTGAGTTTTACATGTACCAATTACAATAATCTAATAAGTTACAGCACTAAGTAGTGAGCACCTGTTCTACTAACAAATATTAATTTGTCTATATCCCAAGAGATATAGGAAATTGTATTCATATTAATTAAATAAGTAAATAAAATAACATTTGCAATATGCATGTGTATTTGAATACTAAATAGGTATTACTTGAGCATAAGTGACAAAGACAATCTCTTGCTCTACTTGAAAAATTTATTCAGCATGTAATTAATGTTAAAAATTAATTAATTAATAACATCTATAAGAAGACATTCATATTTTTCTAAATTTAAAGTCTAAAGTATTGGTGTAGGCAGGGTGTTTTTGGGGGGTGTTTTTATTTTGTGTTAAAATGTAATTTTGTAACTTTATTATGAGGATATGACATACAACACACATAACATATACTTAATAATTATTTATACGTAACACATCTTATAGAAATCTGATGCATAACTGCATATAGTACAAATTATAATTATAGGCATAAATATGTCCAGTGATTAAGGGGGTGTTTGAACACCTAACAACTACGCCACTGGTTTAAAGTAGAGTGCAAATGTGTCAACTTATGTTTTTAATGAGATGCAAAAGTTAAACATTGCACTAAGTAATAAATACTCTATACATTTTTTTGTTTTGTGATCATAAATACATAAACTGTATGTTCACCTTTTACATCACACAAATAATTAAACTTATCCACTTGGTAAGAGTGAATTAACATGGGGAAGATTGCTTTAATGTGCAATAAATGTTAATTATTTCATAGTCATAGTCAAATGATGATATAAAAGAAGTTCCCATTGTTACATATCTTTTAGAGAAAAACAATACGGATCAACAAAAACTGAAGTCTAATCTCAGTATAGATATGTAAATATGTACCACTTTTGACATAATGAAAATACTTGAATGGTACTACTATTTATATCAATATGTATAATTTTCTTCCTTGAAAGTCTTGGATGTTATTTAATGTATGTACTTATCAATGTATTGTGTATCTAGAAAAATCTCAATTCAAGACTAAATTAGTTACCAAATTGTCTCTACATTATACCTATGTTTATAAGGAAGATGTTTAGCAGAATGATCTTTGTAGAAAATAAATTCCAGTACCAAATAAATTTGTTGTATTACATACTTCTCAAAAAAATACTTTTGAATTTTACTTTCTTACATAGTTTTAGTGTACATACCGGATAATATTCTATTAAATAATAATTTATATTTAATATAATAAATAAAAACAAATCTCAAAATGACATGATTAAAATGCTTAACAGCTTGGAAGATATATTGGATAAGTACCAAGTGAAGATCAATGAACAAAGGACAAATAAAAATGTTGTATGGAGTGTTTTAGTTATAAATGTGAGACATTGATAATGATGTAGAAAGATAAAAACAAATTACAATCAATGAAGATGTGGTTATGGAGGATGATGATTAAAACCAATTGAATGGATTGAAAATCAAATTTAAGATTTTTAGAAGAAGTTAATGATTAACATAAGTAACAAATTGGAAAATTAAGTTTACTGGTCATCTTATGCATCATAATGATTTTCTTAATACTTAACATATTTGAGGAAAGAATAATGGAACGAAAATCTAGAATTATTTTCATGATAAAAAAGCGAAAATGGGCTACATATCCTATCAATACTTAAAGGAAACATCAAAGGACAAGATAAGAATGACTATGTTAACAAAGTATTGCTTTCAGTACATGACAATGAATAAGTTAATACAATTATTTGTTTAAATAATTTTATAAATATATATATATATATATATATACATAACACTTACACTTAATTGTTGTTACTTAATGGAAAAATGATTATGATTTGTAACTAGACATTCCATAAGAATGTAAAATCTTATATAATTTTTTGTATTTTTTAAATTAAAATTGAAGATTGTATTTAGCCATTGTTTTTTACACTTGTCTCATATTTTTTTTTTTTATCTTTATTTTATCTTTCTTCGACATAGATACAGTTAACCTATATATTTTAATGCTATTACATAATTATTTCATTTTTGTTTTATAATTCCACGGTAACAACGTTAATCTTTTTCTCAATTTACAAGTTTTAAAAATTAATTTAATGTACTTATCAACTTTATGTTTTTAATATATTGGTTATAAAATTGTATTTTTAATGAGTACTTACAGTTTCTTAAAAAGTATTACGAATACTGAACCAAAGTTTCAATATTAAATCACAGTAAACGTGTCTTATACAAGTAAGTAACATATATATATAAATGTATTATTTAAAATTAAATTTAACTATACATTAGTAAGAATTGTGAACAATTATAATCCACGTTTAACAGATACACAATACTAATCAATTATAAGATAATTTTTATAATTAATATATTCTAAAACAAAAATAAATATTAATTTTAAAAATTCGAATTTATTTTTTTATTTTTTGTAAACATTAAAGGGTAAATTAAAATTTGTATTGAGAATTTATTGAGTTTGATATAATTTAGTATGGAATTTTTTTTTTAAAGAATAAATTATAAAATATTAAAATCAATGAGTAATAGGGAATAATGATTAATTTAAATAAAAAAAATTAAAATTAATGCTCAAATTTTAGTTTATATTCTATTGCACTTATTAGCATAACCATAGAATATAGATAATTGTTGTTAAAAAATTAAAGGTTAGGTTATACACCTATACATCATGATTAACATGACTAAGTAGTTGGAAACAATTCAGATAAGCAAGTTTTGGTTTCTTTTAAAATACATTTTAGTTTTCTGAAGCATCAAAAAATAAATATTAAATAGAATAGCATACTACATTAACTGTATTAAATATATTAAAAATACTTATAACATAAACTCAAAAATTGAAGGTTCAAATTTGTTTATAACATAGTTTATTTATTAAAAATAATGATTAGGTAAGTTATAAAATGTATAAAAAGTGAAGTGCTTAGCACTTTAAAGTTTGGACGGAATTTGTTACAAGTTTACAATAAAATAAATATCAATTTCTTATTAAATACATAGTGATTATTAATGAACATAATGTGGTGGTTACAACCGAAAATGGTGTAATTCTAGTGGTCGAATTACAGTTATCTTCCGAGCAATAACATTCTTCCCAGTAAACTCCATTCCATTCAACTCCCCAATTGCACACACCAGTAACACCCGTATCTGAAACTGATCCACAACGACGGATGACATTTCTCCAACGACCATCCCCTGAAATAATAGATAACAAATATTAATGACAGTTATATATAAACATGTATTATAAAATCACAGTATCAAATAATAAAAAAAAATTGTAACTACCAAATAAGACTACCTATCTAACTTACATATAAATCCTCTTAGACCTTGTTTAGTTACTTTGACACAAAATGTACCCGGTGTATGAGATTCATCACTGGTACATTCTACGGGAATGTGTCGATCTTTATGGAATTTCTCGTACGCACCACAATTATCTGATCCCTTAGGATCACTGCTCGTGGAACATTGATAGCACTGAATTCCATTTACTACAAAGGATAAATCAAATATTTATTGTTTTAATATGTACGGGCGTGACAAAGAACTGCCACACCTTTAACATTTTAAATTACCTTTACGCAAAAAAGAAAAACTTAAAAGTAATACAAAACATGAAAGTATGGTCAACCTCATTTTAAACACTAAAAATACAATTTTTCGATTTATATAATTTTATAAATTTGTTAATATAAAAAGATAATCAATTACATACAAAAATTAAATTTTATTGAACAAATATAAATAATATGTACCTACTTTTTAGGTAGTAATTAAAATACTCAATTATTAATTTAAAAGAAATTGAATTGAGTGATAATGATAAGTATAAACAAAACATTCAGTGGTTCTCAATATAGAATATTTAGGTATTTTAATTAAATTACGTAATATTTAAAATAAATAACAATTTAAATTGTACTATTACAATCAATTTAAAATATCATATATATTTTAATGAACAGTCTAAAATAATTTTAATATTTAAGTGCAGAAAATTAATTTTCCTTTTTATGTGAAGTTTTTCCGCCATGATAACGCCATGTTAACATTTTTCTATAATATTATTTCCAACTTCCAAGACTACAAAGTACAGACTATATATTGTATATAGCAGACTACAAGTTTTAAGTTTACAACTGAGACATTATTTACTTTTCTATGAACTAAATTATCGACTGCTTCATAATTTGTTAGTTCATCATTTATATTTTTATTATTCAATATTTACTATAAACCATTGACTATAAACAATTTAATTTTAAACCGTGTTCTAATCATAGATTTCATCTTTCCAGTGTGTATAAATTGTCTTGAACTAACTGGTTAGTGATTATTTTATTTATCCATAATTGATCTGTAATATGGGTTACAGTCGAAAGTGAGTTAATTATAATTAATATATATTAATATTGAATACTGATTTTAATATAATTATTTAATAGTCCAGTTATGGCAACAAGAGATCGTAGACGAGGGCGTGATAGACGTAGTCGAAGTCCAATACGTAGACGTGGTGGTCGAGGAGGAAGAGGTGATCCAGGCTCTAATTTGCGTAAGCCACGATGGGACACAAAAAAATTAGAACCGTTCAAAAAAGATTTTTATATGCCACATGAAGCTGTCCATAACAGGTAAAAATCATTATTTATGTAATATTATGTTAAATAGGTAGCCTATTATAATAATTATTATTTAAGTTGTAAAAATGATGAATGAAATAAACTACTAATTTAGTTATTTTTACCTATTTGTTAAATTTGTCCAGATTATAGACTATTGCTTAATAATCTGTGAGGTGCATATAATATATTTATCTTTTGGCCACTATTCTAAGGCACTACCTAGTGGCTCCTTAGTCTTTCTAAACCAAATTAGTTCAAACTCGAAAATTAGAATTGTTTATACAGATTGAAGTAATAAAAGTATATTTGAATTTCATTATAAATTTAAGCATGCTGCAGTGTGTTTTGAGATTTAAACACCCCTAAAAAACCACCCAAATAAAGCCAGAGTATGGAATTTTATGTATGCATTGTATAAGTACCAAGATATGTGTTTGGTGTTTAATCTTTCAATCTCTGTCTATCATTTTCATGCTAAAATTTTACAATTTTTTGTTTTGAAGTAATATAGTTGTAGTATTGTTTAGAATTGTATTACTATAGTACCTTCAGTTATTCAATTATTTGTTTTTTTATAACAAATATTTATATAATACCAAATAGATATGGAAAATTTAATTCTAGTGATAGAACTCTGCTGTGCACTGGGGTTTCTTTTTTATTTTGATAGCTATTTATGTATTCTTCTTTCTTTTTTTTTTAAGGTCTTTAAGACCATTTTTTTGCCATAGAATAAATTTTCCCCCATTCTTCTCTGTTTTCCGCTACTTCCAATCCATGTATCCATAATCCCCTCTAGCTTTTAGAAAATCTTTTCTGATTTCATCCTCCCAAGGTAGCCATGGTTTACCCAGTGGTCTTTTGCTCTTTGGATTTTCTTGGAGCATTCTTTGTACTATTGAATCTTTCTACATGTGTAACCTGCTCATTTCAACTTACTCTGTTTGATCTCGTTCACAATATTTGGTCTATTGAATATTTCCATCAATTCTTGTTTGTTTCCCTTGATCTTTAAATATCCTGATCATACACAGGTCCATATATTTTGACATACATCCTTCGCAACATACAGGATTGTGAGCAATACATGACTATTGGGCATATGATTATCAAATATAACCAAATTTTAACTTCTTTTGAAAGGACTCTATAGCTCAGTAACTTACCTAATGCATAGAAGCATTTGTTTCCTTTTTTAATTATTTGTTGGATTTCTATTGGGCATTCATTCTTCTGTGTTACAATAGTGTCCAGGTATTAAAATGGTTCCACTTTTTTGAACTGACCCACTTTTATGGTCTCGATTGTAGGATCGTCACCTAGTTCCCTTCTAACTTTCATGTGTTGCATTTTCTCCGTGTTAAGATGCACATTTTTTGCCGATTCTATTAACCTGCCACATAAATCTACCAATTTTTGTTCCTCTTTTCCTGGCAGGACAATATCGTCTGCATAGGCAAGCAGACTAAAGCAAGTTCTTTATCCATTATTACTCCTTCATCTCTTCCCATCATCATTTCTCGGTATTAAATTAAAAAGGATTGGCAACTAGGCATCACCCTGCTTAAGTCCTGTTCTTACCTCTACCATCCTTGATGTTGCATTTCTTACTTTGACTTTGACTTTTGTCTGTTTTATGCTAGCTTTAATAAAATCGAAATGTTTCAATATTTTGGTTATGCTAGTTCTATCTATACTGTCATATGCTTTTTGAAAATCTACAAGGATTATATGGAGTTCCTTATTGTATTCCCAGCTTTTCTGGAATAGCTGTCCGATTACAAAGATCTAGTCCGTCGTTGACTTCTTTTGCCTGAATCCACATTGATAGTCCCCCACCACTTCTTCAGCCAGTGTTTTTATTCTATCCAGAATGCAATAAGATAATACTTTATATGTTGTATCTAGCAACGTTATCCCTCTATAGTTACTACAGACTTACTTGTTATCTTTTTTATTTATTTATTTATTCTTAAAATTACTAAATACATATGTAAAGGCATATCCAAGGAGGGGAATTTCAGGTCTGGATCCCCTGCCATAAATGTATTAAACTCTTCTGTAAATGTGTGTAAGTGTATGACGCTGTATTTGTATAACTATTATTAGTTTTAACAACAGTAATCACTAATCTGTTGGTTTTGAATTCAATAAAAAAAAAAATGATGGATTTCTCATGTCTTTGTACATAGATATACTTCCTATGTAAAAATTAATTTCAATTTACTGAGAAAAGTAAACATTTTAGCAAATAAAGTTTAGTTATGATTCAAAAGATATTGATTAAATTGAAAACCCAATTTGTATAGCCTTAGATTGTGTAGACCTTACTCATATGAAATAAACAATAATTGTTTGTTGTGTTTGTAATTATTGTTATGATGAACATTGAGAATAGTTTATGTTGGGGGAAAGTGATATCTGCACATTGTGTCTCCTTCGAAATAACGAGCGACTTTTGTTACATTATTTAAGTCATATAAATTGTGGTGTTTAAGCATTATGCCTGTAATCTTTTTATTTGGTGATTTTGTAGAAAAATGATTTGTATAGCCTTCAGAAATATTTCTCTCCTTAAATTGTGTTACATGTGTTGTAAGATCACAATTTTTCTAAGTTACTTAATTTTGCTATGTTGCTCATTAGTTTGATTGGATAGAATATCGCCTTTTCTTAAAAAATACAAAATGAAAACTATATACTTGAAAAAATGTTCAATAATGTTTCATTTAAAATTATAATTAACATAATAAAACAATTTCATGTCAAAACTAATAGTTCTCTTTTTAAACAAAAAATTTAAAAATATAAACAAATTAAATGCGTCATTAAAATAATGAACACTTGATGTATCAAATATACCAGCCGTTCTCAACTTCTTCATATTCGTGTACCACTTCCACATTTTAAAAATTGTTCACGTACCACTTGCCATAAGTATTAGGCTTTTTTGTTTTACTTGTCCAATAACAAATGTGTAAATACGTTATGCATGGAACTTTTATTATTAAATTTACATAATTATATTATTTTTAATAGATTACATGGACATTAAACCAATAACTTTTTTTTAACTTATCAAAAAATTTCTTTTTGTACCACAGGTTGAGAATCGCTGAAATATATTATTGTAATAATACTTTTAATTTTTTTTTTTTTAGTTGATAGAAGGTATCTATTTTTTAATAGATACCTTAATTAATCTAATTTTTTACCAGGCAAAAAAGCCATAGGTTTATTGGCCTTAAATTTTTTTAAATAATTACAATTTACTTAAATTATAATATCTTGAAAACAAGTTAATTACTAGAATGTAATTTCCTACATAATTGTTAATTAAATTTTGGAGGCTTTATGTTAGATTTTAAAATTTTTGGTAGTTAATATATTTTCTTCAACTTACATTTTTTAATTTATTTTGACATTGGCCATTCTTACACTAAGTAAAGTTATGTATATATTTAATTGATATTTATCAAATACAAAGTTTATTTTAAAATAATATATATATATATAACAATTAATAATCCTGTTATACCCTTTATATATCCTAGGTACTACCTATATAAATGTAACAGTTATAAAGTTAAATAATATTAGGGTAGGTTTGGCATTTGGTCAATTGATGTAAAGAGTACTATTTAAAATTATTTAATTGTTCCTAAGTTAAAACTGATATGATAATAATTCATAATTATGAATACTATTTAATATTTTTTCAATTTTTTCAATTTATTAATTCCTAAAGAATTCTGGTGGAAAAAAAATGAAAAATTCACTTTAGATTTCAGAATGTAAATTATTTATAAATTTACAGTTTTTAATTAGTCTATTTTGACTTCAATTGACTGGTAATAAGCCCAAACACAAATAGTGAAATGTAATTTGAGAAATATTTTGTATTTTTATTTGAAGATCAAAATCAGATGTAGAAAAATACAGAGAAGAAAAAGAAATTACATTAGTTGGTGAAAATATCCCTAAACCAATATTCAAATTTGATGAAAGTGGCTTTCCTGAAATAATTATTAAAGAACTAAAGTATGATCACAATTATTTTTATTAGGTGTATGTATTTATTTGATTATTTAATATCTTTTCAATATAGGAAACAAGGGTTTGTTGAGCCTACTGCTATTCAAGCTCAAGGATGGCCAATAGCATTATCTGGTAACAACTTAGTTGGTATTGCTTCTACTGGTTCTGGCAAAACATTATCTGTAATTATTTAGTTTATATTTTGTAAGGTATTTTACATAAAACATATTGCATTAAATACATTTTGTTTTTTATATACAAATATATAGTATATTATACCAGCTTTGATTCATATTTCTCATCAACGGAAACTATCTCGTGGAGATGGGCCTATCGTATTAGTATTATCTCCCACTCGAGAGTTAGCTCAGCAAATACAAACTGTTTGTGATGATTTTGGTGATGCATTTGGAGTTAGTAGTACATGCTTATTTGGTGGTGCACCAAAAGGTGGTCAAGTATGTAAAAAAAAAAATATATAAATATTTTTAATTTGTTTATTAATTTGCAACATTTTGTATCTACTTTTATAGGCATCTGATTTAAGTCGTGGAGTTGAATTAGTTATCGCTACACCAGGGCGTTTGTTAGATTTTCTTGAAAGTGAGCGAACAAATATGTGTCGATGCACTTACCTTGTATTAGATGAAGCAGATAGAATGTTGGATATGGGTTTTGAACCACAAATTCGAAAGATTATCGATCAAATAAGAGTATGAAATTATTAATATTAATAAAATCGAGAATATTTTAATGGATAATATGTTCATTTACAGCCAGATCGACAAGTACTAATGTGGTCAGCCACTTGGCCTAAAGAAGTGAAAAATTTAGCTGAAGAATTTTTAGATGAATACATACAAATAAATATTGGTTCATTAACTTTGGCTGCTAACCATAATATTCAGCAGATTGTTGAAGTCTGTCAGGAATATGATAAAGAAACTAAGTATATATTTGAATTTTTTTTTTTTTTAATTGAGTCATTAATACTTATTTAATATGTTATTAGATTAATATCACTTCTAAAGAAAATAATGGATGAAGATGAAAATAAAACAATAGTGTTCATAGAAACCAAGCGACGTGTGGATGAAATAACTAGAAAAATTAAAAGACATGGGTAATACATTTATTTGATAAAATTGTGTTATAGACATATAATAATAAAGATAAAAATAATAAAATATTTTAGGTATTCAGCAGTGTGTATTCATGGAGACAAATCACAATATGAGAGAGACAATGTTTTAAAAGGTATTTATTATAATTATTGTTTGACCAATAATAATAATATAGTTTATATGTTTTTAAATTAAATACATTTTGTAGATTTCAGAGATAGTCGTTATCCTATATTGGTTGCTACAGATGTTGCTGCTCGTGGACTTGGTGAGTAACTATAAATATTAATTTATATGTATTAATATCCTAAAAATGTTGAAGCTAATTTGATTTTATCAAATTATATATACAATTATAATTATTTTTGAAGATTTTTAAGGTTATAAAAAAAAAGAGGAATTTACTATTAATTATATTTCAAAATAATATAAAATTAATTTATTGGTATCATTTTATGAATAAATTAATAATATAGGTTAATAATATTATTTTATATAATACCTGTACCTATTATATTTCTTTTTATTAGAATTATTTTTAAATTCTAACTATGATCTTAAATTATAACAAGTAATAAACATTAAATTGATTAAAATATATTTATATTTTAATACTTAATAATAGATTTGATGTATTAAAAATTATTAACTACCTATTTAAAATTTTGATTGAAAAATGCATGTGAAAAATTAATTTTTTTTAAAAAGATCTTAATTCTAAAATATATTAAGTTTATTAATAGTATTTTTCTTGGGGGGTAACATACTAAAATATTTAAAACTTACAAAGTTATTTACAGTTTATTAAAATCGTATTGGCTTTAACTGACTTATTTACATTTGCTTTGGTTTTTTGTTTTAGTATTACTTAAATAACTTTTTTTTTTGGAGTTGGGCAGTTCTGTAGTTTTTTTTATTGTTATTATTAATAAAAACAAATATTAATATATTATATTTATGGTTATTTGACTCAATTGTATATTATTTCATTGTCATTACTAAACATTGGGCAAATGTAAAGAATTAACATTTATAAATTATAATATGATAACATATATACATGATTGGTATGATACTCTAACACAAATTATCAGCATTTAATACTTAATACTAAAATAGTGTGTTAGAAGTTTCAGAGCATGTATTCTTTAATGCTATTAATTTAATAACTATTTAATTTTGGAATCAACTTACATGGAAAATTGGTTTTATTTTTATTTAATATACTGCCTACAATTTTAAAATCAATATTCTCTTATATGCTTTTATATATCAATTTTTCACTGCAATTTTGTTAGTCCTTGGAAATTAGTTGTGCCCTACTCTTAATTTCTCAAAAAATATTGCGGCTATTTTATCATTAAAACGCTATTTTGATTTGTAATTTCATGTTGAAATCTGTTGTCACTTAATATTATACTCATATATCACATTACGCTATAAACATAAATATACTATTACTTAATTAAAATATTTATCACTTGGATAATTTTAAGTGTTATCTACTTAATGACAGTATCACTTCAGAGGTCATAGTAGAATTTACCTTCCCTGTCTTTCTTACGGACAATATATAAAAAATGTGTTCTGGTAAAACAAACTAAAAACCCCTTAATATTGATTTTAAAGATAAAAAATTTGAATATACTTCGCACGTGGATGGGTCACTAATGTAGGTGAGAAGTTGGAAAGGTAGAGTGGAAATTTAATGTATATCTGCAACGATTAACCATTGATAATGAAATACGATTCTGAACGGAATTCGGTTAATAGTGTTGCTTTGTCAACAATATGTAGGTATGGCATATTGTGGTATAATTATTACATATGCATAATGTATTTTCTTTAATATTTGTTTAATATTGTACCTTTTTCCTGATTTTTCCCATTTATTGGAAAATAAACATCAGTATAAAACCCGTACACTCTTCTCTGCTCAGAATCTAAAAAAATATTATAAAATTTGTAGATAATTAAATTTTGAAGTTTACTTCAGCAACATTTTTTGAAATATTCAATATTTTAAAAATAAGAAGTCTTCTAAAAAAACAATAAAAAAATTATTGAATTCTGATCATTTTGGAAGCAAGAATTTTATCTGTGTAAAATATGTTTTGGGCAAATAAAATAGGTTGTGCGATCTCCCTCTATGCACACATATAAACTAAACTAATAATATTTTTAATTTGACAAAAAAGTGCACACTCAAATTCCACTGGAACTATACAAGTTTTGTATTAACTATTGTGTCAATATTTTAAAATATAATTCAGAAAATATGATTAAAAACATTTTTTGGGTTATAAATATTGATGAAAAAAAAAAGTAATTTGAATTACCAAATTGTAACTACCGTTTACTTAATTTGTGCTAGATACCCAATTGAATTTCAAATGTCTATTGAACATATAAAATAAAGATTATTAATTCAACCCTAATTATTAATTATTAACGACATCATCAATAAATGTACATACAACATTTGCTACAAAATCCTTTCAATACCTGTTAGAAAGTGTTATACAATAAAAGAGTTCTTTTGTTAGACGAGTCTGACAATAAAATATTTCATTCAATTATTTTTATTCGCATATTGGAATTCATGTTGTCATATTCTATAGCATTTATTAAAAATATATTATTCAAATAATCAACAAATTTTGTTTTTAATCAATACAAATTACCTATTACCTATCATCATAGAACATTACATATTTATCTTTGTTTTAATTATTATTTTGCACACATTTATTATAAGATTATTATGTATATTTATACATTTTATACACCTATATAATATTGCAGGGGTATACCAGGTGATCCATTTAAGTAGGTATACTCATTATCTTTGAAAGTATTAACTTTTTCTAGAATTTGTTTTCTAGAACATTTAAAAAAACAAGCTTTTCTACAATTTTATATTTATGTTAATTTTTGTCACCCTTATTTTTTGGGTTAAAACTTACTTTTGATTTTCAAATGGCAGCCTATATTAAAATATCCATAAATAGATTGAGTATTAATTAAAATGCATATGAGTGTTGAAATTTTTGATTTCTGTCAAGCCATTGACGAGATATTCCACTTTTAAGTTTAGGTTGGAGGATAGTAGTGGAGTTTTATTTGTGTGGCAGTTTTGAGCGTGGCGTGTTTATAATGCACCACTACTCTCCTCCAACCTAAACTTAAAAGTGGAATATCTCGTTAACGGTTTGATAGAAATCAAAAATTTTAACACTCCATCTGTTTATGGATATTTTAATATAGGTTGCCATTTGAAAATCAAAAGTGGGTAATAGTTTTACCCCCAAAAATAAGAGTGACAAAAAATAACATAAACATACAAATAAAAAGCAGCTTGTTTCTTATATGTTCTAAAAAACAAATTCCAGAAAAAGTTAAAATTTTCCGAGATAATGAGTGTATTCATATAATTGAATTTCCCGGTATTATTATAATACAATTTCATAATCACTTTACTATCATTTTAAATCTAATCTTGGCCATTATACTGTCATAAGGTACAATATATTTAAATTATAGGTTTTACTTAAATATTTTTCATAATACTATTTATTAGTCAAGTAGATAAATGGTTTTTAAAAATTATTAGTTACGGCATTAAGACTGTCTTACAAAATAGCATAAAGACATTATTATTATTTATTAAATTGTGAACTCCAAACCCTAAATAAAATCCTTTTAGTATCACTTTTTTTTTTTTAATGTATTCAAACTGTATTATTGTTTGTTATATTGGTTATTGTATAATATTTATACACAAGCACTTTTAGATAATTGAAATAGCATTACTTTAAAAATCATTATAATTTTCATAATATTTTTTATTTATTTTTATAACTTTTCTAATTGCTATTTCGCTTGAAATAATACTATTTTAAATTTTTTTGTAAACAATAAAAATGTATGCTTCAATAAAAATGATTTTGAGTTAACTTTCTGCTTAACTTCTTTACTTCTCTTCATGCATATGTTTATTTTTAAAGATTTCTATAAAATAACTAACTATAAAAATATAATAATTTATTTTTTATTGTATTTTAATCAATTTATACCATTTTAACAGATTATTCTGTAATGATGACCAACACTAACTTTTTTCAATAAATTCAATATAGTAAAGAATTTCAAAAATAGGTTTATTTTGATTATACCAGGTGATCCATTTAAGTAGGTATACTCATTATCTTTGAAAGTATTAACTTTTTCTGGAATTTGTTTTCTAGAACATTTAAGAAACAAGCTGCTCTACAATTTTATATTTATGTTATTTTTAGGTGTAAAACCACTACCTACTTTTGATTTTCAAATGGCAACCTATATTAAAAATTCCATAAATAGATGGAGTATTAGTAAATATAAATTTTAGTGTTAACATTTATTTTAACTGATTCTCCATTCTCGTTTTAGCCCTAATATTAAGGTTGCTAAAAATAACTTTAAGGTAACATTTTAGAGCTGCTTGTTTCATAAATTTTTTCAAAAAAGTTAATACTTTCCATGATAATAAATCTCTTATCAATAATTGATTACCATACATATATTACAGTAAACTACATGTGCTACTAGATATTGGCCATCCCCTAGTATAGGAGCTTATAATCAATATTATATTTATAGTAAACATAAGTCAATGTATTACAATAATGATGGTATTATGAATATGTTACCTGTGAATGTCTGAAGTTCATGTATGTTTTATTCATTAGTAACTGCTGGTATCCATACAAATTATTTGACGGTTCTCTAAATATTTTAAATACAATTTCCAAAATCAATCATTCGCTAGCGATTTATTATCTCAACATTCACAAAGTTTAAATTGTGAAACTTTATAACCTTATAGGTACTAATAACTAATAAATAATATCTATGTTTAATAAACAATTATTATTATAATATTTCTGGATAATACTAAAATGATACATAACTATATTATAATGCACTTTAACAAAATATTTAAATTATTTAATACATTGTTTTTCAACATTCACCAACTATTTTCTGTATATGTCACAATCACCAAAAAGATGTAAATTATAAAAGATTTTGGACATGCAAAATTTGACTTGGTGATTGTTAACAATCTAATCTCTTCAAAAATTCAAGGTAACAACTAACATTAATTCTTATGACAAGGTTAATAAATTTCTTTCATAGCATTCTATTAAATATTATGATTAGTGTGCGTCTGTTAGTTTTTTGAATTTATGTAGCTTTTATAATATTAATTATGCATAGAAATATAACACAAATTTGTATGTAAACGTAAATGGGTATACTTTTTTAGAACTACCTGAAAATATAGGCATTTGATATGTTCTGTTTTTTGTTTTATTTTACATTACAGAGGCACACACAAGCTGTACAATGCGTACTAAATTTAAAAATACTATAAAAAATGTATCAATGTTGTCGCATTGTCGACGCTGTGCCTCGAAAACGGACATGCATAAATAATTGCGTGTCGGTGTCTATCTGTGTGTTCGTGGCGGCTCTGGCTACACAAGTAGTTTGAGTGGTCGCGTGCTGGCGGCAACGTGGGGCTAGTCATTCTACACTGCTGCCCCCCCAACTGCCGCCTCGACCTGTCTGTGTGTGTTGTGACGTGTCCAACGTCAATCGTTGTCCCGTGTGGGGCTCTTAAACACGTACACCGGATGTCGATGGTAAATAGCAAAAATAAACAAAACGTTAAAAATGTTATTTTGGAGATCAAAACAGTAAATGAAAGTGGTATTGAGTCTTGGGCAAAACAGCAACATTTACCATATACAAGTGTTGATATAATAATGATATTTTTTTTTAGTGTTAATTTATTTTAAATATTGTTTAGATGTGGAAGATGTGAAGTTTGTAATCAATTTTGACTACCCAAATAATTCTGAGGACTACGTTCATCGGATTGGGCGAACTGGTAGATCTCACAAGACTGGTACTGCATATACATTCTTCACACAATCAAATGCTAAACAAGCTTCTGACTTGGTATCAGTTCTGACTGAAGCTAATCAAAATATAAGCCCTAAATTAAAAGAAATGGCTGATAATTGGCGTTCCAATGGATTTTCAGGGAGAGGTAACATTTAAATATAATTGCATTAGTTTAAGTTGGTTAAATAACAATTAAATGTCAAACAAATAAAACATATTTTTAGGTGATAGAAGGCGTGGATGGAGAAGTGGTCGGTCCAAAAAATCTAAGAGTCGTTCAAGGAGTCGAGATCGTTATAGACGTAGATCAATATCTAGATCTAAGTCACGATCATACTCCAGATCAAGAAGTCGTAGCCGTTCACGGTCATATGATAGACATCGAAGACATAGACGTAGCAGGTAGTACTAAAACTTGAATTAGGATCTAAGAAAACACAATAGTGTTTATACTATATCAATACTTCTACAAAAATATATTTATTATAATATCTTAAAATATTTAAACTTCTTTAAAGCTAATTGTTGATACTATAAATCAGTTTGTGTTTGGAATATCTGTAATTTAAGAGATTTTATAAATAAGAAAATAGCCAACACAGGGGCACGCTTTTATTTGTATACTTGATCCATTATCAACCACTTTAACATTATGTTGAATGCATAATTAAATTTATTGCACACAATAAATAGGATTTTAATTATTTTATTTGAGATTTAAATATTTGAAATATTCATATTGTGCACTAAACAGTGGATATTTAATGAACGGTCTAATATCTTATTTATCTAGTCTCTCTACCTATAAAATATAAGAAACAAAACTTTGATAACCTGAGTATAAACACATTATTTCTTACCAATAAATTTTGAAAGGTTTCATTATTAATGTATTCCATTTGAAGACATGTTTATCTAGGATTTTTAATTTTTATGTTAACTGGCCAGACCAATGATTCTAATAGTTTAGCAATTCTGTTTTTTTTTTTTTAATTCTGTGATAGTTGAGTAAATATGTTTCCTTTTTTAATCTGATGATTTGTTTAATATAATAGTTGTTACATTTAAATTTAATATAATATAGTCTTTTTTTTTAATATTACTTATTAAAAAAATAGTACACTAAGATGCATAGTCTAGAATAAATGGATGCAAGGAATATTGCCGTTTAGACGCCAAAAAAAAAGTATATATATTGAAATATTAAGTAATACTATATTATCTATTAAATACGAAACTTTTAATATCTGGATAACTGTATTCTAAATCAATATTATGACAATAATATAGCAATAAAATGTTGGTTTAATCTTATTGGATAATTATTACCTATTACCTAAATTGGATTATTAAATAATCTTCTGGATAGATATTATTCTTATATTATTGGAATAAATTCTGGAATCAGAACCACGATGTTAGTAGGAAACTCCAACAACAAAAGTCTAGTAAACTGATATCAGTAAAATATACACATACATTCCATAGTTTTGTAATATGATATTATTTAATGTTTCAAACATTTTTTTATTATTATCTTTTATTTATTTATTTTTACATTCATACATTTTATTTAATTTTGATCGGTTTTAATTCAGCCAGCGCTAATTTTTATGATTTTATTTTAGGTCAGCATTCTTCAGTGTATAATTTATATTACTGTGTATGTGTGTAAAATCCGCATCTCAAAATTTATATTTTTTGCCCTTCAACAACACTATAGCTTTACATTTATACTGTTTTTATCAGTTTTTGGTGTTTGAATGAGAAACAAATTTTTTTTATTTTTTTGAAGTGTACATAATTTAATTTATTTTTTGATACATTTAACATTATTTTATCAGTTCTTCATGTTTGATTGACCTGGAAAAACATTATTATTGTTTGAAAAATATATGATGAATTGAATAATTATTATTAAAATATTTCTACGATAGGAATATCTATACAAAATTTTTTTATGTAGAGCAACCTAAATAAATTAACTGCTTTAAATTTAAAAATGCTCCAATATACAGGTACAAATAAAATAGAAATGACAAATAGTTTTTTTTACACGTAAATGGAATAAATTGAATAGATGGCTGGGTTTTAGATGACATTAAATTGAAAAACAAAATAACTTGGTATCTTGATTTCTCTTATTCGACTATCATATTAACAATCTGTGTTAGTTATTTGTTGGAGGAAAAACTGTAACTATTGTGGACATGTTAATAGTATTACTGAATGACGAATGATTTTATCAGATTATAAAAATAAAATTGTTAAAAATGAAACATAATTATTTAGTATATTTTAAATATATAAAATGAAATAGTCCAGACCACCTCCCCCTTTTACAATTAATATAAAATATCTTACCAGCCCGATTTTTAATTTTTATTATCTAATAAGTTTCTTGTTTAGCTGTTCAGTAACATCTGTATTTAAAATCTCATCCATAGATGGGATTATAAATATTACTTTACTACTAAAATTAAGTGCATACATACTGACCTAAACAATGTTCTCTTAAAAATAAATTGTAATAAATACTAATAACTTTTACATAGTTTCAATAAAATATCAAAGAACATTGTTTTTCAAATTCTCTCACACTATGAAATGTTTATTTGATCATCTCTGCTAGCAGTGTTCTATTAATATATAAGGTCATGTATATGTACAAATATATATATATAAATATATATACACTTATATCTTACATTATAGTTTTTTTTTTAAATATTTAATAATATAATAATTATTATTGATGATAGATTTAAAATTAACTAAGTCACTATTTGTAAGTTATCATATTATTTTGTTATTGTAGATTAATATTAATAACATGCTATAATTCTGATTTATCCAATAAACTCTAACTTTATTGAGAATAAGAGTACACATTCATAATTAAACATTTGCACACTGTCAGATCGGCTTAATCCTACTGCTGAACTGATAATCACCAAATGTACGCCTTGTATGAACAAACTCTGACTTTTTTTTCATACACTCATGATTGTGCTCTTATTCTAAATAGAGTATAGTAATATCAAAAAGTTAATCAGTATTGTTTTTTTTTTAAAAATGCAGGTATCATAATTTATGTATAATTTTTAATTATTGGCATAACTTTTAATTTTGTATTACACACTATTAAAATCCCTGTATTAAATAAAATTGTATATTTGATAAGCACAATGCACTGAATATAGTATATCATTATTAATTTACTTATAAAACATATACTAAATATAATTATAATATTTTTAATTTTAGGAGCTCAGATTAATGACACTAATTGAACAAAAATTATATTTCCAATATGGTTGTTTTAAGTATACAAATCTTTTTTTTATATATTGTTCGCCATTTTGTTTTTCTGTTAATGATCAATTTAAATTTAATATTTATTATTATATATTTTAATTTTACTCAAAATAAATATGTGTATGGTATTTGTGTTTTATTTGTCAAAAATCTTAATATGTCTACTTAATATGTTAAAAATAGAATTATAAAACAATTGTGTTTATAAATAAATATCAATGTTGGTCTGATACATTTTGATATTTATATATTTTAATTAGTCATTGATGCGTAAAACTTTTCTTAATCTATTATATAACTTTTGGCCAAGTTAATATCTTTAGTTTAGTTTAATAAATAAAACAATTTGTAATTATTGGTTATAATGAATACTTAAATATATGTGTTAAAAAAAAAATATATGTATACTATATAATTATCATATACATGTTAAGATTAGAAATTTTTCTAGATCCTTTTTGAATTAAATAAATCAAACTTCCAAAATATGTATATAAAGAAACAATTTTCTAATAAATTACTAATAAAAACTTGTAAATAATATTTTATGCTATTGTTTTCATTCAAGTTATCTTATTGTATTTTATGTTGATTAGTTTACATTAAACATTTCTATAGATTACTAATAATTTGTCTGCTTATTTATTAATTTTTAAATACATTTATAGTAATTTAAATTGCAATGAGGTATGAGTAGAAAAGAAAAAAACTGTTATTGTTAATGGATATACCAATATTGTGTGTGAGAGTTCAGAAAGTGCAATGATAAATCATTTTCGATAAAATATATTTCAGAGCAAAATTCAGTTAAAATAACGTTATACCCACATCTACTGTTTCAGTAATACTATTGAGTCAGTGGCACCAAAAAACCAGCAATCAAAGATGACAATTGTCGCCCTGCTTTTAATAGGTGAGTGGCATTAGATATTTGATGAATACAAGAGCCATATTTTTTATTAAATTGGTATTTATGGGTTATCAATTAAGAATGTTGTAGGAGAGTTTGTTTTATAAATGAAGGTCTATACAACTTTTTACCTTTCTACCTTCTTAAAACATGATTCAGCGCCACTGAATAAAACATATTAAGTAATGTTTAAGTATCAAACATTAATAGTAAATATCCATTAAATAATATAAACAAATCTCACAGTTTAAAAATATAACAGATCTTATTGCTGAAAAAAAAAATGTTTAAATGAAATTCAGGAGGTTGTAAATAATCTTTTAGTTACAATATCATAACAACATATCATATATTAAATAATAAATATATAAAAATAAATGAGTAAAGGTACCCCCCTTAAATAATTTTTCAAAAAATCAAATTTTCAAACATCTAATTGTAATTATTATTATTTTAAGTTTTACCAAAAAAATTAAATTTTCATCGAAATTATTCATTAGTTCGAACACAAAAATTAGTGAAAAATATATTACATACATGGGTAAACGATAAAACTCACCATTATCTACGATTACCTACTTACATTATTTAGGATGTTAGTTACCTTAATTTACTAAAAGAAATTAGAGAATATCCATTATAAATGCATTTGGATTTATAATATACAAATACGGCACATTTATCACTGTCGCCATCTAAATCGTAGATAATATTACAGATAATCCATAATGTATGTTGACTATTAGTTTATCGGCGTATTATTTGGGTTTTGTACCTATAAAAATAAATGTTTTGTTATAAAAACATTGAAGTCGATTTAATTTAGTGTAATGGACGAAGAAATATTGAAAAATAAACCTATTGAAATTATTGTGTCTACATAATATGACAAACATGATCTAAAAGAGTACTTAATGGAATCGCTCATAATTTAGAGCTATAACATTAAAATATATTATGGTAATTTTTATATTTTTTAAAATTAATTATATTATTCTTACAATTCTTACACATATATTCTTACATAATTATAATATAAGTATAATATGAACGAGAAAATTTTTGATATGGTAATGGCAGACGGAGAAGTGTCCATGACTCCCGGCGTTGCTCATCCACAAATAACTCTTCGTCGTTCCCATTGTTCGACTCATTTATCGATATACCTACCAACAACAATAATAATATTCTATTTCGCTACTTTACCTCTGATTATGTCGGCCCCATAATAATACTTGCCGAGAGCATTGATCAAAATAAAAACATGGGAAATTGGCATCCCATTAGTGTTGCAAAATTTTTCTCTATAAATTGTATGGGCATCACCAATATTAAACCCGCTGGCCCCAAAAAGGTCAAAATTACCATCAACACCATCATCAACGAGTAATAATTGTTTTAATTCCTAACCTCTCCTAACGGGAGTTACTTATTTAATCCTACTTGCCAAACACAAGTATTAACATCTCGCAATTGACAATAACATAATTTAATGGAACGTTAGAAGCCGCCTTCCTTCTTTACAGAACTACTCACTGTCCATAAACGTTCTATAGTCATTATCTCGGAAACCTGGCTGCTTCCTTCACTCCCTCTGAACATACCAAACTTTAAAACCTTCAGAACCGATCGCCCTGATGGATATGGCGGTGTAGCCATTGACATTCACAACTCCTTTAAAACTAAACTCATTACCATTGATGATATTACCAAAAATAGACTCACTAGCTATAAAATCGACCTCATCGAAGTTTTTAGGAACATAAATGTTCCTACTCCTCTCTACAGACTCTCTTCAACCTAGTTATGCACAATTCCTTATTATGTAGGGACTTCAACGCCTTTCACCCAACATGGGGTTTAGACTCATTTTCACATCGTGATAATCTAATATGTAATATAATCGATTCCCTAAGTCTCCGCATATTAAACGATGGCAGTCCAATCCACATCGAATGCCTAAACTCGATTGAGCCTTGGATCTATCTATTCATCTGCTCTTTGGATCTTATCTGAAACCTATCGTGACGAACACTAATGTTGAACTTCATGACAGTGATCACATTCTGATCATCATAAAGATTATCACTACTACTCATACTACGAATTCAAATTCCTCCATTTCCTACTCAAACCCTATCCAATATAAACCGATTTACTATAATTTCAATAAAACTTACTGGGAAGCCTTCTTTCATTAAATACAAAATTATTTTTCCTCCCTACCATATAATATATCCTCAACATTGTGCTATTCTTCTTTCATTGAAATTATAAATAACTCTGTCAAAGCAACGATTCTCAATAAAATAACATACAAAAACATGTCTACTTTCCCCGCCGTGATGGAACACCACTAGCACGGAATCGGTCATAATCGATTTTCGCTCATACAAAAACGCACGAGTCCCTACAATTCGTACTCTTAAAAACGAAAAGAGGAATAATTGGAAACATTTTTGTTCAATTCTGAAACCGTCTAACTCCATACAACACCTCTGGTCGGTAGTTAGGAAATTTAAAAATACAATGAATTGCCTCTCGTCCTTCATAGAATTACTCCTTTCACAACAGAGAGTTTTTTGTAGCCACTTTCGTAGACATACCTTAACTTTATGAAGTTTTTCCCCATAACTTCCAAACGAAGTTCGTCCGACTTTACTTTTAGATTCTTAATGTGCAGGCAAAAACCTACATTTTGAAAAAAAAAAATAAAATAAAAAACAAGATTGGGTCGTAAACTATATTTATACCTGATACATTGGAGCAAGATTTTCGGTAGAAATTTTGTACGCAGTATAGAAAAACAAAATGTTTAGTACTCACAATAAGTCACGGTCGCTCATGGCTTTCTACAACATTTGATTCTGAATACCATTGCGCCGTCTTGAGTCTTATTGAACATCACACCTATAATATTCGCGACAGCACTTTCATTTATTTAGAATAACGCCAAAAAGGTATATTAAATATAACAATTGAACGTAGAGAAAAATAAATTTGCAGAAAAAATAATGTAAATTAAATAAAAAAGAAACACTCGGAGACGCGGAAGTGCACTCACCACCGAAGCCCGGAGAATACGTCAAACACGAAGCGACTGATTTACTGTCTTACGGATGAAAAACGAACTGTCGACTGGTTTGTATTCGTGCGCAATCAATCTTACGCAAATCTGTTTTACACAGCTTTTTAAATGCGCGGTAACTTCAGCGATCCAATAGGTTAACAGTATTTACATCAAGCCCAATGAACGCATCCGACATGACCATAGTCCATTGCGTCACGGCAGTACCGTAGTAACGTAAACAGGGGGGACTGCCTCATCCCTCCGCAAAATCATTTGTTTTATTGGTTATTTTAGTGTATTATATGATATAATATACGATACAATTTAAATAGTTTTAAAAAATAGTAGTTTTGGTAATGGTACAAATTATTACTGCCTCCCCTCCTACTAATAAATTGATTTCTTGGGTACTACGGTAGGTACCTACCAAAATTGTCTAATACATACAGGTGTCCCAAACTACATTGCAGGGGCGTCATTTCAAAAATTTTTCATTGGATGAAAATCCTATATAGTTACCAAAAATTAAAATTAAAATCAACTTGAGCTCCATTTGGGTAGCATATTGAGCACGAAATCAATAATTTCAATATTTAATTATTTTTTTCAGAAAGTAAAATATTATATAAATTTCGACTTGCGAGGTTTTGTTATGATCTGATGATTTAGAGATTCAAAAAAAAATGTTTAATAGGAAATAGTTGTCAGAAAACATAATTATATAGGTTACTTTTATGATAAAATTTGGTGATTTTGTTACTTTTTTAATAGCTTTAACCACTTACAGCCCTATACTTGTGAATGGAGCTTAACCCTTCCAGCTTTCCTAATTCTGTTTATTTATGTGTTTGAGAGAGAGTGGTTCCAAAATATTGGTTGAAAACCACTAGTCTAATGTATAAACAGAAAATATATTCACCACTCACAAACCTTTTTAATATAATTTTTATTCATATTAAATAATAAATAATAATAATAAATTTAAAAAAAATTATTATACTTCAATGTATACATTTACCATAATTTGATTTAATAAAATATCGTGACATAATTAGTAATAATATGATATTTATTATAAGACCATGCATAATATTTATCAAAATATAATTAATCAAATATAGGTATATGATAATAACAGAGTAGATCTAGCTACTAGGATTTTAATTTCCAAAACAAATTTAAAAATTAAAGCATACATATTAGGAAATACGATGTTATTTTAAGAATAGTAATACTAAAGTAATAACATCATAGAAAAGAGATTAATAATAAAATACTAAAATAATATTTAAATTTCCCGCGGTTAATTTATCAAATTTGATTGGTTCCACTTTATGAGTTGAATGACGGCCATTTTATTTTTATTTTCGTAAGCAATCTCATTTTTAAAACGAAGTTGTTCTACCATGTATTATACAACCTTGGTATATACTAATAGTTGATAATTCTAAATGATTAATGCCCGGTTGCACCAAACCCGTAATAATCTATTGATAAATCTAGTGTTAAATATTTACATGATGATAAACTAACAGTTGATAAATTAAAGCTTTATCGTGTATTAAATTTACAAGTGTTGTTCAATCATGTTTTTATATTCAGGTTATTACCAGAATACTGGTTATCAATAAGTAGTGGCTGTAGAAGTTAATATTTATATCACTCGTAAACTATAATAATAATATCGAATATGAATTAATAATATAATGATATTATCTAATGTTTTCGATTATGACCACTCACCACAATAACATAAAACATTAATCACACAGCGATAAATGGATCTTTAATTTAACTCTTGATAAACTACATTTTTAAAACAGTTAAAATTTAAAACGTGGTGTAGGTGCAATAGAATGTAGTTTAACTACACAAAAACGTGTTTATCTCTGTGTAAATAGTTCAACCAGGTATTAGTCAGTCATTAATATTAGTATTGTGTTAAAGTTAAATAATATTATTAGTGATGGGAACAATCGAGTGCTTTCAACAATCAAGAGATTCAATCGAAAAAATTCTGTCAATTTAGTATTTCATTACACTTAGTTTCTCGATACTCTGTACAACTCGCATTATTCAATGATCGCTAGATGTTTGATAATTATCTCTTAAATTAATTATTATTACCTATTAAACATTTTAGAAAAGAAATATAATAACGTGTACAACTACTAACATTACTAATTTTCATTCAATTGTTTTGTTTTAGATAAAGACATCAGTCGTTTTAATTTCATGATAATCACTCGTCGATTAATTTATCACTTTACTTAACCGATTTTCCCGTGTTTTTACCCGGTTTTTGTTGGAAAATTGAAAAATAACTCCCTAAAGTACCACCCCTAGAAAATATCCTTTAAGATGATTATTTATTTTTAAATAAGTAGTTAATAATTTCTACTATTATTTAATGATAATAAACATTATTTAATGCATATAAATTATATTGTCTTGTTTATGTAAAAGGGGCTCCCACAATGCATTCTGCTCAAAGGGCATCACATACCTAAATCCGCCTCTGGTGTTAGGCAGTTTTATAAAACCTAAATCTATAATAATACAAATTACATATTATAACTGTTATCGGCTATTGCCACAAAAAAAAAATAAGATAACCAACACATCTATGAGTTTTATCTACATTCACTTCTTCCCGGATGATAAGAAACATATGTAATTTTTATCACAGCTATAGAAGATTATGATTGAGAAGGTAATAAATAAGAATAATTTTAATAATCTTAATTGAAAAGCAACATGAAGTTCAGAGCTGAAGAAATATACAATGGAGCTATTAAGTATTATATAGGTACGATTCACACTGAAAATTGAAAAAAATAATTAATTTTTACTCAGGATCAATAGTGTTTTTATGATATTATACTTTTAGAAATATAAAAACAATGTCTTCACAGTTAATACTGTTTTACCGATAAAATCATGTTATCGAAATTGTTTAAAACACGTCATTTGTGTGTCTGGCGTTCTCCAAATTCATTGTACTATAAACGCTTTCATAGTATGAATAATACACAAAAAAAGAGAATACGGTCTACAGTTTATTATCTTTCTTCTGTAGGAGTACTTACAATTGGTCTTAGTTATGCAGCTGTACCACTATACAAAATGTTTTGTCAAGTGAGATTTTTTTATAGTTACATTTACTGTTTTTTTTAAATTTAATTCTGACTCTAGGCATTCAGTTATGGTGGAACACTTAATCATAATTTAGAAGATTCTAAAGTAGAAACAATGAAACCCGTTAGAAATAGGGAGATCAAAGTCCATTTCACTGCCGATACATCATCCAGCATGCAATGGAGCTTTAAACCACTTCAAACTGAAATCAGAGTAATATATTTATGTTTTTGAGTATGATAAAATGTAGTGCATAGAACATCCAGATTAACTTTGTCTAGGCCTGAATTAACCTATAGACAAGATAGGCACATGCTTTAGACTAGACAATCACAAGGACTATTACAAGCGGTCTACATCCTAATACATAGGCATCATTGTTTGAAAAATATTTTTTTATTAATTTTCTAATAAACTAAACAAAAAATTTGGAAGTTAATTAACTATTACTAAAAATCTAGTGTTTTATTTGTGTCCAGTTGTGGCGTAGTAGACAACTACGTTATTTGCCCACCCCCTCCCAACAAAAACAATTTTTTGGTATCAATAAATGATGGCATTCATAATTATATAAAGAATATCATACTTTTGAATGAATTTTCTATATTTAGTTTCGTATTAAAGTATTTTATATTTTGCTTCCTTTTATTAAAACAATTAAACAAAATTTTCCTACTTAACAAAAAAAAGGCGTATAATTAAATATGAGTGTATTTTTAAATTGTCCAAATTAAGTACCTACCTAGTAAAAACATATCAATTTTCAAATGAGAACATTGTTATACCTAGCATTTTTGATCTAGTTGGTGTATTGAGATGTTATTTTTTGATTCTCATTTCTCCTTATAGTTTTATTAGTAAATGAGTATCGAGCAATTTTTTGCATAACTTTTGTTGATATTTTGGGTGGTCACTATGACAACAAGGAAAAAAGACGAATAATAATATTCTGGTCAAAATCATTTTTCATTAGAAATGATATATTGTTGGTAAAGATATAAATTCAATTATACTATACAGCATCAATCTATCGTAATACACTCATCATCTTAGAAATTATTAACTTTTTTCAGAATTTGTTTTATTAGATTAAGAAACTAGCTGCTTTACAGTTATGTTATTTTTGGGGGTATTTATGGAATTTTTAATATAGGTTGCCATTTGAAAATCAAAATTAGGTAGTGGTTTTACACCCAAAAATAAGGATAACAAAAACAAAAAAACCAAATTAAAATTGTAGAGCTGATTGTTTCTTAAATGTTTTATAAAATAAATTCTGAAAAAATTAATAATTTCCGATAAAATGAGTGTTTTACTATAGATTGATCACCCTGTATATTAACTAATAAAAACTTTAAACAGATGAATATTTTAGTATTTCTGATGATTGTTTAGTAAAATATATCCCTTGGTGAAATACACACAGAATTAATTTTATGCTGTAATTTCACACTTCTTGTTTTATTGATACCCAATTATTATGTTAGTATAAAATATAATTGCTACAGATGTAGTTCTAATAAATGGTTAGATAATATTATATGTCTAATAATTTTAATAAATTAGTTTATTTACTCTATTAAATACTTTTACTTTTAAGTCAATTATAAGAAAAATTTTTTTATATTATTTATTTAAATGAATAAATGTTAAATAAATAGTTAATTTATTATATTTGAATTAGGTAGCACCTGGTGAAACGGCATTAGCATTTTATACTGCTAAAAATCCATTAGATAAACCCATTACAGGTATTAGCACATATAATGTCGTACCTTTTGAAGTAGGACAATATTTCAATAAAATCCAATGTTTTTGTTTTGAAGAACAACAATTGAATGCAAATGAAGAGGTACCTATTTACTAATTATATTTGATAAACTATTGAACATTTGTTTACTTTTTATTTTAAATTAAATGTATAATAGGTTGATATGCCAGTGTTTTTCTTTATTGATCCAGAGTTTGCTACTGATCCAAAAATGGAAAACATTGATGATATAACACTATCATACACATTTTTTGAAGCTAAACAAGGAGTCAATTTACCTAATTTATTTAAACACGGATAATGAAGCAAATTATTATATTTTACTGTAGTAAACATTGTTAATTACACATGACTATGTGTTTGTATACATTTTAAATACAAAAGCAAATTTAGTGTGATCAACGCTAATTATAATATTTATTTATTTTATAACTCAAATGTAATATAGGAAGGAATATGAGAACTCATATACCCCCATTTGGAACTAAAACTAAACTAATAAAAGGGCATACACTCACCCTAGGTAAGACTTGTCAACTTTAAAAAAAAAATTATCAATAATTGAATGAAAAACAATTACAGTTTAACCTGTATTTCTTTTCAAATACCTAAGAAGTAGGTACTAGGTATGTTTTATGATATTAGACACATACATTTAATGTATGATTAAAATAGGTTGATAATTAAATACCATGAACCTGAAGCCTTTCATATATACCAAAGAAAAATAAACCGTATGATTAGGTGTTCAACATAATCATATATATAACACAAAGAAAAGTATTTGTATACTTAACAAGATTGAATTGAGGGAGTTCAATATTATTTTGAATAGAGGAAAGTATAAAATCTTAAGATATTTTCTATATTTAAATAGTTATCAAAATTGTTTATACATTCAATTTTAACATACATCTATAATCTAGTCAACACTTAAATATCAATTAAGTAACTAATTACCTCAAATTAGTGCTCATAATCTCTGGTTATAATTTATTGTCTGTTTCTAATGTTAAAAAAGAGCTGATACTGGGGACAAGTGTGCCACTGTGGTAAGTAGGATTTAATTTAAACCTGTAAGTAACTATAAACCATTGCTTATGAAAAACGATTCCACGCGAAGTTCAGTTATATGACATGTTTTAAAAGAACGGAATATTTAAGGTTTTTGTTAAAATTTTATATTAAAATTCTTATAAAAAAAAATACATTAAACTTGTTTTTTTTTATTTATGACTTATAATGAATTAAAATAGCTATTGAATTTTCAAGCATTTCTGTTTAATTTAACAATTTTATCTACAGATTACCTGCCAAATAAAAATTATGCACAGTTAAAATGAATATAAATAGCAATTTTGAAAATGTTACCACCTCTAGGAAAAGTTAGAAGAATCACGATATTCGCACTACTCATTAAAACACCGTTCGACAATGATTGCCGAAACAAAAACAAAACACAAACCTTTTGATGTTTACCGGCACCGCTCGAGACAAGACTTTGTTTTCGAAAACACGAACAATTTGTTGGAAAAAACATAATTGTTAAAAAAATGTTTTGATTTTGTTGTAAAAATACGAGTTTGTGTTTTGTTTTAATTTTGTCGTCTCAGTGTGGACGCGGCATATCAATTAGAATCAATTTTTTGACTTCGTTTTCTCGTTATATCGATTTACTCGGGGTTAGCGAATTAATATGTCTACGTTGTCGCAATACTCGAAATTTTGTTGATGTCACAATACTCACAGTTAATTCTGAGCCCGACAACACACACACTATCTAAATATGCTTTAGATTAGATCGATTTATATATATTTATAATTGATAGGAATTACTACATGTAAAATCAATTATTTCGAGTATTTTGACGTACTTCAATGATCGATAACATTGTATATAGACTAAAGATTCTCAAATTCCATCTCAATAACAGGTAGAAATAAATTTGGCGGAAAAGATGACCGCCCCTCCCCCTCCGCAACGTGGTTTTGTTTAAAAATTGTTTGGTGCTCGAGTTTGAACTTTTGATCTTTGGGATGACAACAGGAACATACCACCACTAAACTATGATTAATATACTATACTATTTTTCACGAGAGAAAGGTAATTTTTCGCGCACGCAGACTGAGCTTACGGATCATTCGCTACCGCTCTCGTCGTCGACTGCAGTCCGCAAAATTACACCTGGCCCGATAGTAGTGGGAGCCCTGTGCGAAGTGCGGCGTGGGGATGCGTAATAATGACTGGTTTTCGTCGAGACTCTCTACTGTTCTTTCATGGAAAATAAGATAGGTATAAAATTGAAAATATTGAGTTATTTAATACCATTGATTTTATAATATACTATAGCGTATTATAAAATCAATGCTAATACATATAATAATCGCATAATATTAGGAATTCAAAAGTTATAATTTCGAAACTAGGTCAGTCCACTCAATTCTGACTTCACCGACGTTCTTAAATCGGCATTATGCATATGTTCAAAATAAAAAAATTTACAATTTACTATCTTTTACAATTATAATTTTTCTCATGTTATTTCGAACTTCAAAAGAAAAAACAGAAAAGAGAATAAAACACTTCCTATGTTTTAACTGGGTGTGCTCAATTATTAAGACAACTAGAATAAAAATCAAAAAACGACTGCAGTTCACCAACTAAATTGAAAATGTAACAAAAAAATCGTTCGTTTTTCGATTGGACCAACATTTCTGATTAAAAACGTATACATTTAAAACAATAAAATCTTAGCTTTGTATATTTATATGTTTTCTTTTTGCGTCTTCTTCTGATTTTTCCCAATTATTATATTATGAATACTGCTCGGAAAATTGAAATTGAAAATTTTTGGAATTTTCTAATAAAAAAGATTTTTGGTAGAAAACATAATGAGTAAAAATTAAAAACAATAAAATTGATAACGATGCAATACGATGTTACTATTAAGTTTTTTTTTTCGTAATTTCGTTTTCGGTTTTTCGTATTATTTAGAAAACCATTGGAAAACTAAAGAAAGGTCTGTCATTTTTTGATTGGAGCAAGGTATCCAGAAAAAAGTTGCTCACATACAAAAAAAAACACATTATAGTAGAACCAATAAATTCATTGCTTCGCTCCGAATATAAAAATAACTATTAAATCAAATTAAAACTGATTAAAACAAAATAAATGTTGTATCAGTGCCGTAGCCAAGGGCGCACTGGGGCAAGTGCCTTGCTCCCCCCTCCCCGAATTTTTTTTTCGTAATGCTGTAGTGCAATTTACATAAATTCATTATTATATTAATAAAATAGATATATGATTATCGATTAATACCTAGTATACTACATTACTACTATAAGCATTATGAAATATACTTTGTTTTATATTATTATGTATAATATATTTATCTACCTTGAATACATATTTTGTGTCAAAATGTTTTTAGTCTGTCAAACCGTTATGGAAATATCAACAGCTATAAAGTTAGTTTTTCGGGCAGAAAGGGATAAGTCCAATAATTTAAAATAGTTGCCAACATGGTAAATTCGTGTAATTTTTTAAAAATATCGAGATGATAAATTTTTATACCTAGCGAATTCTCACTTTTTTTTTATGGCTTCTGTAAAATTTGGTTATAGGGAAATGTTCCCTTTCTGCAGTTAGTGATTCATATATTTTTTTATAAAGTTATTTACTGTGTTTCAACTTAAGGTTGTAAAACTAAGGGGGTGTAAACAATAGGTGAAAGTGGATTAAGGGAGTCATAAAATAACAGGTGATAAGTAAACTAGCTTAACAAAAACTAGATAAAAAAAAAAAAATGAAGTGTCCCCTTGAACAATTTTTCTGGCTGTGATACTGTGTTGTACAATCAGTTATTAAAATTTTTGTCTTGATTTAAATTATAAGGTGCAAATTATTATACATAGTTTGGAAGATTTGGATTAAGACAAAAAAAATTGACCAACAAGTTGAAAAAATAAATCCAGATTACTTATGGATTTTTGATGTAGGTATTTATAGTGCAATAAGAATAAGTTATGGTAAACTTTTCATCAATTTTTTTAAACATTTTTAATAATCCACATATCTACATATCTACATAAAACGAAGGAACTCGAAAGTGAAAAATAAATATCTATAAATATCGAATAAAATATCAAAATGTGTAAAAATAGTACCACGTCTAGAAAGTTCTGAGTTAAGTAGGTACCTATTCAGTGATAATTGCAGTCTCTTTTAGTTTCTATTAAAAATAAATATTTTTAATTGAATTATAACAAAAAAAAAAAACTAATTGAAAATACCAAATATCGTTTTGCATACGCATTTTCTTGATTTATCTTTTATATTAAGGAAACTGCAAAAAAAATAGAAAATGATCTCCCTAGTACTCAAACAAAACAAAATTTGCTACTAAATTGGAACAAGATTTCTGGTAGAAGTTCTCATACAGAACAAAATGTAAAAAATCATCATTATTAAACTAAAATATACAACAATCCTTAAAAAAAAAAATACATTCAGATTGTCAGAATCTAAAATAATTTTCATTAGGTACTGTAGTATATAGTCTGCATACTAAGGGCGGTAAACTTTTTTTGGTAGAGATCATAGAGACAAAAAATATATTTTTCCTTTAAGGATCGACTTCTATAAAAAATGTATATTTATTAATTACTTGATAGATATTAATAATAAACATATATGTATAAATAATACAACTAAAATTAATTTATAATAATGTTATGTTATGTTCTTATATCTTATATTAAAAACTAAATATACTAGAAATAAAATTGCCAATATATAAACACTGTTAACCTGTATTATTTGATAAACTAAAGACAAAATAATGATTTATCTTAGTACAAATTATTAATAATTAAGATTTATTTACTAATTGTATAAAATTGAATTTTAACAAAATAAAATCAACATCAAATTGTGATCTACTGATTACAGATCACCCTGAGCTAACCCTGCTGTATACATTTTATTTTGTAATACAGTGGATTCCGCTTAATGTGGGCACATTGGGACCAGCCCTGTTTGCCCACATTAAGTGGCTGCCCATAAAAACGAAATTAATTTAAAAATACACACATTTGTAATATCAAAGTTTTTATTTTGCAAAAGTGAACTATGCAATTAAAAAAAAATGTTAAATTACTGTATAAATAAAACTAAATATAACATACTAAATAAATGAAATTACTATTTGGATGTGGAAGGTGTACAAAACATTGTAATTGCTTGTTGTCTAAGCTGTTTAGTGTGGATCTGGTTAACAAAAAGTGGGAACACGCTTCAAACTTATCAGACAGATTATTTTTGTTATCATCTTTCATGAACTCAAATCAAAGTCTATATATTTAGTTAACAAAATCCCATTATGATTTAAATACTAATGCTTTTTATTATAACAATTTTTGATAAATACAATGTCATAAACACGACGAAACCAGATTATATCAGTCGTTTTTAAATACATATGTATACATTCAAGCACTATGATAAAATAAAAATTGTCTACATAAAACGAATTGAGTGTCTATATTGTATGATTTTTTTTTAACCTTGTTAATATATATTTGTATAGGGACCAGACCATTTTGCTCATATTACGCAGATGCCCATATTAACCGGTGCCCACATAAGGCGGAATCCACTGTACATATTTATAATTTATATATACTAATTAATGTAATTATAAAACTAATAAATGTAAATTATTTTGGTGCCAACTGTGTAACACTACCACGGTTGATAGTATATTTTGTATTATTGTGTACACCTTTAGAGAGTATGAGATTTTAGTCTATATGCAGTATTACTGTTTCAACTTCTCAGCAATTTCCCTTCAACAGTAGTATACTATATATATTATAAAGTATACAACTTAGAATGCGAGGAATATACCAATCAACTTTTTTTGTAAAATTTAAAACTTAATTCAAACTTTAAAATTATTATTAGACATGATACTAAATTTTAATTTTAACACATTTTATTCAATTTAAAAATAATTGATTTTTTATTTTCCTGAAAAATTTGCATTTGGTTAATACATTCCTCTCATTTCCGAAAAATTAATTAAGTAAATAATAATTTTTATTAAATTATTATAATATTATTCAAACTTAAAAAGATACTAAAGTAAAAGGAAATATTTGTTGTTAAATAGATGGACAACAAAACAAAAGCAAAACAAATTTCTTGATATTAATTAGTTTACTTGACAGTAACACTTATTGACAAGTATAATATAATTAATAATAATAATAATAATAATAATAATAATAATAATAATAATCATAATAATAATAATAATAAAAAAAAAAAAAAAACCTTTTGCACATTTTCCGAAATTATCTTTTACAAAATATACATTCAAGGCTAATAATTGTTTTAGTTTTTGCATTCTTTTCATAAAAAGATGACATTAACTTCAGAAATCAACACTCAAAAATCTGCCAACTGGCTAAACAAACGCGTACAAATTTTAACTAAATCAATGTGCCCAAATAAACGTTTATTCAAAAGAAAAAAAAAACACAATATTGTATAGTACTTGAATGTTAAACAATATGGTAACAATATTATAATGCGAAATTCTGTCTTAGAAAATATTGTTATTTTATATTCAAATATTGTCTCGTACATAGCATTTCAAACAATTAAATAGGAGGAAAAATGTATTTACATATCAATTGGTTGTTTTTTTGAAAAACTGAATGTAAAAAAAAAATATATATATTTATATATATTATATTTTACTTAGTTGTATCTATCACAAAATGAGTTTTGTTGTTAACCAACAAATTTATCATTAAAAATAATAATAATAATAATAATAAACAAAACGCATTAACTTATGTACAAACGTTTCATATATAAATTAAATATTAGTCTACGTTTATTTTTTTTTTTCATTTTTTCGAAGTATTATATTAAATGTCTTTTCTTAAGGTCATTTTCTATAAAAGAACAAATAAGTGGTATTGAATGTTCCAATAAACAATATTTTAGGAGTATACATTTTGGCAAAAACAATAACATTCTTTTTGAATTATTTTCTATTTGACAACTAAAGAAAAAAAAAAAAAAACTAATTATAAATGAAAACCTATTTTTGAATTTACATATAAAGAGTGTAGTTATAAATTGGTTTCTACGATAAAATAATATTAATAATAATAATAAAAAAATATAATAATAAACAGTTTTCGAATATAATATATTATATTTTATTTGTGATACAAAAACAATGACGAGGAAAAACATGTAACACTATGTAACTTGTAGTTATATACAAATAATTAGTCAAAAACTGGTAAAAAAAAAAAAAAAAAAAAAACGTTCATTGTCCTTTAACACGCGCACATAATATACACATAGTACAAGTAAACCAGGATAGAAATTAATTTTAATAATAATTATAATTATAATAATAAAAAAAAAAAAAAAAAAAAAAGAATAATATATTTAATTCACATGATGAAAATCATACGCAGTATTTATTGTGCGCATTTAATTTCTTTCGCTTATAATACCAAATAGGCATTTTTGGATTTTGTACAAAAGTTTATCTTCAATTTTTTTTTCCTAAACCTTAAATTAATTAATATATTTAAAAAGCTATCTTGACACTTGATACATCAGTCGTTACTTAAAGTTTCGTGTTTTTGTAATTTAAATGGGATGGGGAGAGGGTCTTTGCATCGAGTATTATATACAGAGATGGGATAGGTGTCACTAGGGAAAATTTGAACGAGAGAAACGCGAGGGGGGAGACTAGTTTAGCGAACGTCGCGGTTACTGGCCTGAGGTAGAGGAGATTACGGACGATTAGGGGTGGGTATCGAGATGGTGGTGACGAGGGCAGGGAATAGGACAGATAGGTTGGGGGAGGAATCGGGTCGACGTTTGAGATCTGTTGATCAATAATTTTGGTCGAAGGACCCGTTATCTCCTGTCCCGGTATAGTAAGTAAACGCTTAATGACTGCGGCAGATTTAGGTCCATTACACGTTCTTCTAGATATTGTTTACCAATTTGTTGCCTAATGACTCGTCTACATAAGTCCATCAGCGGTAGGGGTTCAGCTAGAACAGTAAAGTTAGTATTACGTTAATAATGATTTTTTATTAGGTACCTAAATATAAATGTTGTCATATCACAAATGACAAGTACTCACGATCTAGTCCACCAATGTACTTCATCGTAATTTCACAATGACCCCAGACAGCACTGACAATTGGAAATAATTCGTGTCCCTTGAGGCCTCTAAACGCTACACCCAAATACTGACCATCAACAACAAAGGATAGAGTACCTTCGTCCATATCCAAAACAACTAAAAAGAAAACACATAATATTATATATAAAATATGAATCAATGATAACTACAATTAAATACCTGAGCATTATATACCTAAAATTCAGTGTAACGTACCTAAAAATTTATCTGGCACTATAAATGTCTCATCTGGCTTGAGTAAAGCCGGATACGTAATGCCATCATAACTTTTTGCATCATGGTATAATTTGTTACGGCCTAAATCCCAGCCCCATGACTGGTCGTTATTTCCCACTAAACTTTGGTAGCCGACCGAATGTAGAGGTGCAGCCACTGTGGCAACTCCGACCACTGCATGCGTACCACGTTGCCTGGTCGACCAGTTTACTTCCCACACGTGTAGACCTTTGGTTAGGCCAGTCTTACCTCTAATACAGTCTGTGCTTTGGGCTACTGGATGTCTATGGAATGTCAGTTTGTCTTCATCCTGTACACACAAAATTAAATTTTTATTAAATAAAATATCACCAACAAATTGCATTTGTAGTATGTAGGTATATCTACTAATAAGTCATGAGTATGATGATTACCTTAACAAATATATTTAAAGACCTATCATCCGCGTTCCAAGCGTGTTTGATTTGCACTTCTTTGGACGCTGGCGGCATATCTAATAATATATCTAATCTGGCCGGACGGGCAAAATCTTGGGCCAGTTCTCTTGGTACTACAGGCTTGTATGGTTGCGCACTTTCGCGGCTAACGGTTTTAACTCCACCTGAAACAACAAACATTTGCAATTAAAATAACAATAATATTTATTTCGCTGAAACAAGTATTATAAGTTACGTATGGCGTAAAAGTAGGGAAGGGGCTAAAATTTGTGCAAGCAACAATAGTTTCATATAACTCGGCAAAAGCAACAGTATCACGACTTCCGAGATATCTTTTTGGAAATTATAAAGTTATATTAACAAGTTTAATTTTTTTTTTTTTTTTTTTATTATTACTTACATTTTATCATCTCAGCGTTGCCGACTGATACGCATATTTCGTTATTAACAATGATATTTAATACGTTAAACATTATTTTACCTATGGATAAATAATATTCGGAACGATAAACTGAAATTGACAAAGACAAATCCGTGTTTAAGTATTCGTGAAAAAAAGACGTCGAAAATTTAAAATCGGATGTTTAAGAAAAAGAAAACAAAGAACACCACGAGTTCTGAGTTATGAGAACACACAGCAGTATAGTTCGTAATTTTATTATATTAATTTTAAATTTTTATCGTAGGGTTATTTTGACTGTCGCTGGTATAGTAGGTACTATCTAGCTCAGTGGGTGCGTGGCGTATTTGCGTATAGAATAATGTCGATGAGACATTGGTTCACAGGTCACTAAGAGATAAGAAAACTCGTTTTTCGGTACCTAATCCACTGGACAATCGTCCAGACGAGTGGGTATAAACTACGTATTTTTAGAGACTTTTGTGAATATTACACGACGACTAAACAAAATGCAATACTACGCAAGATCCGTTATCGTTAAATATTATGTGCACAGGGCGGCAACGGCGCGTTACCTAGGCCACAGAAACGGAAACTATACGTGCGATCGCAACGTTTTCGGATCGCTCTGTATATGACGGTATGGAAAAAAAACCAGACGAGAAAACAGACACTGAAAACACGTACACGCAGGTACGTCGGATCTGATAGAGGAACGCAGGAGCCGTTGTCATCCAACCGGATTTCGCCGGGTCGGGAGAAGGGAGAATTGCCCACCCTCCCAAACATACCCGGGGAATACTATTTTAAAAGCAAAAACCCCGAGGGATATCCGTAAAAAGTAAAACCGTTTGTTATATTATTTATATATATGGGGGATAAACAAAAACAGAACCTCGCAAGTTGATGGATCCTTGTCGACGCACAATTTATGATAATCGAAGGGCTATTGTTGCATAAAACCGTACAATTCCTAATTTTTTTTTTTTATTTTTTTAACAATTAAAACCATAGGTACGGTTAATATAAAATGCTGTCCAATGACGAAGTCGAAAAAAACGTTTTATAAGACATAATTATAATTTCTATTTCCTCATGAAAAATTAGTGGCTGTTGCAGAAATCATTCAATTTGTATAAAGGCAAGTACAACGTGACGGCAGGTAAAACCAGTAAAAGTTTTAATCTGATTTTCAAAAAACACGTGTACCTTATATTTAAAACCCGTGGAAATCTCTTGCAGGTGCACAATATTAAAATAACGAGATACCCGCGTCCCGCATGTGCGGTCTCCGTATTAAAAATGTATATAGCAACATAAAAACATAGCAAATTTGAGTTTAACAGAGACAATTTTGTGTTGTTAGTTTTAATATAGAAGTAAACTGATTTATCATCAGACTTAACAGTAAGAACATTAACTGTGCAACCATATAAGTTATTCTCTAGAAATTTTAATTTTCAAGTGAGATATGAAAATGTGAAATATCAAAATTTAAAGATGCTTGTGTCTCCCTTAATAATTAAAATATTTAAAAAAAAACCCCACGTGATTGAACAGATAATGTTCTTCTTACTTTTAAGTTTAATAATGGGTCACTTCACTCTAATATTAAAAAGAGCTGTTACTGGGGACGGTTATACTGTAAAATCACTGTTGTAGGTAGGAATGGGAATGTAGGATAAATAAAGGTACATCATTTATATCTGTTCGTAACGATAAATCGTTGCTATCGAAAAACGATTTGGCGAAAATTTCGATTAGAAATATTTTGAAATGCCGTATTTTTTACGATTTTTGTCAAAATTTGATTTTAAAACGAAAAACCGATGCATTAAAATCAAATTTGTTCTTTAGACCACTAAGTACCATTTATAATGTACCTAATATTAAATGGTCAAGTGTTTCTTTTAAGTTATATAATTTAATAGATATCAACCAAATAAAAATACATATAAAAACAAGAAAATATTAAATCTAAATAAATACCCTAAAAGTAGCTAAAATGCTTTGAAAATTTCATCACTTCTACAAAAGGTCAATATAAGTATTTGTGAAAACTACAGGTCTTTGAAATAATGTTCAACTTAAAATTGTTATAGTCTACATTTCAAGTACTTGTATACTTAAATATTTTATTCAAAAAAATCTCATTTGAGTATCTCTTATTTAATAATAGCCGAATCTCAGTAAGTAAATACTCGTATTTTAATATAATAAGAGTGTTCAAAAATATATCATGTGTGTTTTTAAATGTACAGTTAAATTATTTGAATCTAAAAAATAATAACATTATTACTGATAACAGTCTGATAAGAATTTCATGACGCAAGAACTAATCGAGCGTATAACACAAAATTGTCCATGGCTAAACGTACAATTTTCTGGTGTCCTACGTTTGCGAGACGGGAGCAGTAATATTATGCGTTGGGTATCAAGTCCTCTTAAGGTACGTCCAAACGAGAGCACGAACACGGTGAGCACAAATGAGAATACGCGCTAGTCCGTGTGGACGGCACACGCGAGCATGAAAAAATGTGTTTCGAACGTGAAAAATAGCATATGCAAGTTATGTTAGGGCTGACAAGAGCAACTAAATATTTAAAATCTTTTACATGAAAAGCTAGTGAAATTTTGAGAAAAAAAATAACCGGTTATTATTTTTCTTATAGAATTGTGAAACCCACCACCGTCTCACGTAGTCGCAATATAAATAACATTATTTATTTCATGAAATATATGAAAAAAAAAACCAATTCTGCCTATAATACGACCAAATGACGAAACGGGTGAACGCAAATGTGTACTCCTTGTTCGTTCTCTCGTCTGTACATGCATACGAATATATACATACGATTACGATGTTAGCGGGCGGTGGAAAATTATCGTTTCGCACCACCAGAAAATCTAAAACATTAGATATCAACCACGCAAATGATCGAAGCACAATCACAAATTGATGCTAATTCACGATACTGGCGGCCTACAATAACTAATAATATTTCGTTATACTCACTAGATATTTTCTGGCCCATGTTCATGGCCCGGTGGGCTCTGGTTCGTTGTCGGTGTCCTGGTCCGATGTTAGTGTACGGCAATGCGGTGATACCTTTGTTTATGTGCGAAAGCACAGACACGGATGCCTTGTAATTGTGGCGCCTGAGTTCCCTGAGCTCAACGCCCGACGACGTCACGCGACTGCTACCGCCGCTCAGCACAGCAGCGGCTGCTGCCGCGCCTAGATTGCCGCTGGTGCCTACTAATGCGCTGCTCGCAGCACCCAGAGCACTGCCACCGGTGCCCTTCAGTCTAAAAAAACAAAACAACAAATCGTGTTAATCAATGATTAAAAAAATTAACGGCACAATTATCTATGGTATAATATGATAAATTTGACGATTAATGGTAACGATTGAGAAATAAGGTGGGTGATAAGGAAAAAGCTATCGGTGGCGGCCATAGTTCTCCCGACTGACTGGTATATTTTAACGTGTGAAATATATGACACTAGCGCCTTTTAGTGATTCGTGGATGTTTCAGATGGCCAGTTTGTTGTTCAATGAACATTGAAAGGGCCACAAATACGCTAATATTATTTATTAAATTATGACTGGTCTGTATTTTTGCACGGAAAGTATGTTTTTTTAAATTACTATTTACGTTTAGACCTTTTAACACTATAATCTGTTTTGATAATACTCCTATAATTATAATCTATATTGATAAAACCAGCAAGTGTCTGTTTATTTATTTATCTGTGCGCGGCATACAGAGTCCACATTTATCTTGAACTCGGATTTTCGAAATTCAATCTCTAAAAGACAACTCACACAGGGTTTTTAGTATTTTTGATAAGAATTATTTTTGTTGAAAATAGCTTATAAGTTATCTCGGTGACGTAGATGATAAAAAACAATTATAATTAGTAGTTAATTTGGTTGTCACAGGCAAAAAAGAAGTGCCCTTTTCAAAAAAATGAATTACCGGGATACCGTATGGAGACACGTTTTAAATACGATAGGGACAGAGAGGTAGAAACGATAAAACATGTTTTTAGGTTTAAAAAAGCGTTTTTCATTCAATACAGTGCACGGGCAACTAGTAACTCATACACGTAACCGAATTCGACGATATTTCAAGCGCAAAATTCGATTCTATACACAAATGACGGATAATACGAGGATGTCGATGATTAGTGGTGTCTAAACAGCACGTTCAACTGTAGCAAACTATCACTTTATTACGCTTTATTTAACAGTCCATAATATCCTATACGTAAATTTGTAGTAGCTATACTGTAATGATAGAAAAATATTCCTTTAAGGTCAAATTGGTTATATTATAATATGGTGTCGATTTGTTTTTTCAGCAAATAACCCGCAAATCTTTACAATACGTTCCTTCGAACCACACCACCCGTGTTGTGTGTAGCAATTATTGCTACACTTTAACAGTTTGGGTGCCACTGCCACACAACGGTTTTTTTTTTTTTTTTTGCGGCGAAAATAAAACGTTTCGGCGACAGAATGAAAAAAAAAAGAAAAAAAAAACAATACTACTATTAACGATTGCGCAACGCAAGTTTCTCGTTTATTTAGGCAAGTATACGTACACTAATATTTTTTTTTTATTTATTTATTTCACTGTGTTGGTTCTCCAAACGCTTATTACAGCTTGCTCGGACGACGGGCATAAACGCGTTCGCCCAGATTTTTTCTTTTCATATCATTCCGACGACGATTGTAGGCGTTAATATTATAATTAATCTACAATAATGGCGTGTGTCATAATAATTCTATTGCGTCGTGAACTTTGACGTCCGCAAACGCACATCGCGGAGCAGAAATACAAAACAATTATAACATTCGTATTATTATTATTATTAATAAAATAATAATAATAATATTATGGAAAACACCGCACTATTGTACAGTTTCAAAGTCAAGGTTCAAATATTCACCGCAAATTTGATACGCGGCGAAAATAAATCGATTTCACGGACGTCCAAGGTTGAACGGAATAACTATATTATTGTACACACAATAATATAGTCAATAACGACATATACCTACATAATACCAATGTATTATGTATTATATTTATCGGGTCGCGGATGAAAATAAGATTACAACGAGGAAAACTATATATTATACTATTACGACACGAAGACGATAATACCGGTGAAATAATAAATAAATCTCTTCTGCGCGCGATGGTCGCCGCGGGATTAAAAATGAGAATAAGAAAAAGAAAAAGAAAAAAAAAACGGAATTCTTCCGCGGCGGTCTACAAACGGGGAAGACCTCGATCGATTTTTTTCCTCGACCACCATTTTGCCGTTTTAGCGCGGAAAAAAAAACGAATCGACCATAATAACTTCGTCTGCGAGTAGTAAACGTATATACGTATCGCGTCGGGCGATGAAAAACCACCGCCGTTTGACCCGATTTTCGGTTCGGATAACATTGAAACGCGTTAATTCGCACGGCACCCGGGTCATTTTTTTGTAATAGTTCATAATAATCGCAGTCAACTGCACAACAGCCAGTATACAGTACTGTATTGTTTCAAGCGCCGGTATACGTGAATATTATATCGAACCGCGTGTCCGCCGAGGGCACATCCTTGAACGCGTCCCGGAGGACAAAAAACCATTTTTAAATTCCGAAAAAAAAAAAAAAAAAAACCGCCGTCGCCGCTATATTATTATACATTGCAGTGTACGAGTGCCGTAATCAGCGGAATTGATTTAACATTTAAACTTGAAAACGAAATTAAAGGGGCCGCCCTCGTCGCCCAATTTGCCGAATATTCGGCTGTGTCCTCGGACACGTGTCGAGGCTATCGGCGACGTCGTGTGCAGCTGAGTAATAATACGTGTATAATATCAAAAAAAAATAATAATAATGATAATAATAAATGTTATCTTCGATTACATATTATTGTTATAGCACGTTAAGAGCGCGCTGTTGAAAACGGTTAACTTTCCATTTCGAAAACGATCGCCCCGGCGCTCTGCCCTCCACCTCCGAGACGAACATAATACGCTCCTCCTAGTATGTATAATATACGGACGCGCGCACGTTCTGTTACGAGAAGAAGGTACAACGGGCTATAATATAATACATATATACACATTTCGTTTGACATCTTTTTTTTTACGCGCGTGTATGTGCGCGCTTTTGAAAGGTGCCTACCAAAAAGAAACAAAAAAAAACCGCCAATACGAACAGTAATAAACGCCGCCGCCGTCAAGGACACGTCATACGAATATACGTATAAGCCGCTCTTCTGTAACACACGAGGAAAGTAGAAAATTAGAAAACAGTTTTTTTTTTCCTAACTTTGGTTTTTTTTTATTTTTTTATCGCCGACGCACAAGGGGTACGTGTTCTTTTCGATTCAAAATTCAATTTGTACTAATACGTACAACCTCACGGCGTGGCGGCGCCGTCGTTTTTTATTGTTATTATTATTAAGTCACACGGCGGCGGCGGCGGCTCTGTTGTGAAAACAGTGAAAGTGACGGCCCGAACACGGTCGCAACACTGTAACACAACGAACGCAAAACACGCTAATAATATATAAAACCGAAATTCGCGATATCGACGAGAAGACCGCGATTTCAAACGGTCGTGAAATACATTACATCCTTCCAATATTTAAAAAACCTTATTGGTAATTATTGTTGCTAATATCTCTATACTTCTCTGAACTTTATACCGCAGCCCTGGTTACTCTTGTCAAGTTGTGATAAAGTGACCGCTTAAGTTACTAGAGATTAGAGACTGTTCACGCGCTCGCAGCGAACTAAAATACAAAACTCGCTTTTATCACGGCTATTGGTTGTCATAGACGTACTATTAATTAAACTAATGGACAGCGCCTCCTCGCCCTCCCTCTGCCAAACTACCATTTGAATGATATACAGCGAGCGTTACATGGACCAAACTATATTTTTTTCTCGCGCTATCCATATCGTCTGTACGGCATATAGAGGAGGCGCCTTCACGTATCGTGCGCTTTCCAACGGTTATAACTGGCCCAAAACGTTATGTTGTCTCTGTCTCACTCTATATTGTCTCGCGACAGCTCGCTCTACGTGCCGCCCATTAGTTCATGGTTATTGTGACTTATCGTCGCAGAAAAATGCACACCTATACAGATCCTGTCACACGAAGCGATTTTATTCGACGATTTTATTTTATGTTTAAATTAAATAAACTACGTTTATTCAAAATAAGACTCGGGTCGTCGGGCGACTGTTATACGTCCGAGGTAACATCATCATGTCAGTTTCCACAACGTTTTTACGAACTACGGGAATTACGCATTACGAACGAAATGCGTTTACGCTATAGTACAAGTAACGCGTATAAAATTCGCATAGTAGGGAATGGCGAAATTCGACTTACGCAACGCGTTATTATTATGACGACGGCGTTTTCTTCGGAGAGGAGCGAAGAACTAGCGGTTCGTCGGAAAATTCACGCGAGCATAATAATAATTAGTCGGTTTCCCTTACGATTTCTCTTTGTACAATATGCCCGGACCCACACGTGCGGCCGTACGTGGCGGATAATTAACTTATTTGAGATTCGAGACTCAGTCGAGGGTGAGCAAGTTGTATGCGCGCGCGCGTGTACACGTGCAAACACGAACGCAGCATTCGAGGTCGTTGAACACAGCGGCGGAATCGTGCGAGGGGGTGCTTTGGCAGGCAAACGGGGTTGCGCAGTGCGCTTTCGTACTCGCGATACCGATTGATGCCGACGACGCTTTTGCGGTGTCGTATAGGCGCTCTCGCCGAATGTATAATAATGATCTCGGCTTCGGAACACTACGGCAAAGGGGACAGTCGCTGAGTATTGATTCGCGCGGCGTGTATAGGGCTGCGTTTTAACGCGGCGTGACTCATCGGGGAATAAGGAGCGTTATTTTTTTTTTCGCCCCCCATTCCGCCCGAATATAATACACAGCGCGGCTAAAGAAGGGGCTCGGCGCGGTGCAGTCGTGTGGTGCAGCGAGGGACGGCCCGCGCGGTTTTAACGAGAGGACTATACCCGCGGTATTCGCTCGGTACGTATCGATCGGACCTCTACCGCCGCTCGAATTTTTAATTTGACGACGGGTTAAAACGAAATCAAATTAAAAAAAAAAAAAAAACCCGGAAAACGTCTTATGCGATCATATTAGTCCTGATTATTACTTTAACGGACAGCGAATTGCGACTCATGCGCTATTGCTTCTGTATAATACTCGTATAAAATGTAAACATAGTGTATGGGTAATATCATATAGTACTTTCAACGGGCGAGGAAAAAAAAAATAACATAGTTGAGGACAAACGACAAGTATTAGGTAAAATAATATATATTATGTCGCGGCGGGAAAAGGCGGAATCGGTGTTATTACGGAATTGAAAATATCTCGCGGGTATTCAAGGGAAAAGTAGAATACTATATTATTATTATTATATATGTGTATTATAAAAAGCGTGACGATAGTTATAGTTACCGGGTTTCCGTTGAAAAAAAAAACCGTTTTTGTCACGGGTACCGCGATTTAAATTTGTTTCCCTCACACCCGAACAGTGGCGGAAAATTCATTATGGCCAAAATCGTGTCATTGCAAGAAGAAAAAAAAGTGAACGGGGCGGCGCGATACTCCTTCCCCGGTCCCGGTCGCCCTTTCGCCGTGCGTTCATGCACCAACAACGCGCGCGCTTATTTCGTATAGTAGTTAATAATACATATATATATATATAGGTATGCATATAGTTATAATAGTTATGTACGTTCACGTAACGTATTATATTCGAGCCGCTTTCTCCCGTTATATTACACCCGTAACTGGTTCATTGCCGACGGACGACGGCGGTGGCGACAACGGGATGCTCCGGTTGGCGTTATCACGATAATGCAATGTTAATATACTTTTACTTTCTCCCGGCGGCGCAGCGCGGTGTCCTACTAAATCACGCGAACGCGGCAAACGCCATTATTAATAATATGCAATAATATAAAGACGTAATAAATATTATCGCGACAACGCAAGGGGGGCCACGTCACAGAGTGTTTTGGGCCTTTCTGTCGCATCGTAAACACCGCGCGCATAGTAATGTGTTCACGTACCACGGAGAGAGAAAAAACCTTCCCGTACCGGCAAGTATGGGCTTAATTGTACGGTGCAGTATAAGGAAATTGTCCGCCCGTCCGGGGAAACATAAATCTCGTTTAAACGCGTTCTTTCCTCTTCCTTATCGTTATAGATATCACGGGCCCTCAACGCGCGAACGAATTCAAAGGCCCTCCCGCCTCGCGAGCAGCGATCGCCCGACACGGTAACCGGGCGGGCCCCGGACCGACGTTGAAGCATTGCAATACGACGGGATATTGAATTATAATAATATCGTCGTTGTCGGTACACGCACGTACAGCGTGTGATTAGTAAAATAATAATAATAATAATAATAATGTAAATTATAACGTGTGCGCCCGGAGAAACCGTACACTTGCGAGAACTAGGAAACCCGAGAAGTGCGCACACGTGTTTCACGTGCACCCGGTTCACGCGCGGCGTACTACAACTATACATACGACCGGCCGACGGGGCACACGCATCCGGGCGGCGGCAGACGGACATGTGGCGAAATAATATTATGCGACAGAAATCGTCGTTATGATATTATCGTCGTCGGTCGCCGTTTCGTCCGACTGCAGGTTTAATAATAATAATATGCGCGCGTATATATTTATTAATTTTTTTATTGTACGCGCGGACGTCGCAGGACGTGAGCCGTGTGTCCCCCGGGCGGAACGACGGAACAACAAATGGAACGCGCACACGACCGGACGCGCGCGAGCGCCCGACGACGACGAGGCGCGCGCGGCAACCCGCGGACAAACAAAACGCACTAACCGAATTTTCGGGCAACGAATTATTATTATTATTATTATTATTATTATTAATGTATAATAATACGCGATTATTAATTTATTTCGTGGCAATTTTCGGCCGAGTTACGGAGCCGACGACCGTTTGTCGAACGACACGACGGAAGTTTGTGAAAATCAACTATACGGTGTGTATTATGATAAAAATGCGTATCTGCAGAGCGTATTATTTGTGATAACACTGCGTACCTATATAGTAACGCACGGTATATGGACGCGTCACACGACTTCCTCATTCCGCGAGAATCACGCTCGGCAACTCGGGCCGCGCAAGTTTACAATAATATTATAATAATTATTATCATGAACGTTACTGGGTACGACCGAGAGACTTGTCGCGATCGACGACGATTCTCGCCGCGGGACCTTTTCACGAAAATTACACAATCGGGTCATACATTCCGCTCTGAAAAGCGGACCGACCATGAAACGCCGTACTATACAGACGGCGACTAACTCTTTTTTTTTTTTTTTATTATTATTGTTGTTTTTTGTCGAGTGAAAGTTGGGCCGGAGTTCTGTTACACCAACACGGCACCGCGCGGCGGTGAGAGGTCTGGTAGTTAAGTAGACACCCGAGGACGTGGGACGCAGCCGTCATCGCCGCCGCCGTTGCTGCTTTTGTGCGTCTGCGTAACATTATTGTGACGATAGCATTAAATAGGTATACGCACATCGGCACAAAAGAGGACGACGGATCGGAGAAAGTCAACTCGAAGGAGTAGGTGTTGTATGTGCGCGCGCGTGTGGATCTTCGGAACAAATTTTATTTTAGTAACAGCGCGCCGTCAGGAATTTTAAAAAAAAAAAAATGTATATTTAGGCGCTAATAGACCCTTTCACTTTGCGCGCAAACCGCACCTTTTGACAGACCGTACACAGCAAACTTGAAAAACTTTTGTGCCACTGCTTAATATAATCTATACTTTGGTTCGAACTACGCATGTATAATGGGCGGTCGTCTGGAGTCGGGTTCAACACAATCGTCTTGTCAAGTCGACAACCCGTGTATATTATTATTATTATTATTATAAGTACGAGTATAGGCAGTAGCGTTATATACTAGAAGGTAGTTTTTAAAAGGCGAAAAAAAATAAAATTTCGAAATAATAGAAAAAAACTTGTAGAAATAATAAAAATATAACAGGTGTGCATAGTGTTGTGGTTATCGTATCGACACGCGTCGGTGAACAATTCCTCGTATACGCGCCCGTGGTTTTACAATTACTATTTTACTAGCTGGTATACACTGTATTGATGTGCATTACGATAACAATAATTTGCTTTTAGTTTTTAAAGCGGGGGTATTGTTTATACGAGGACGTTAATATATATTTATTTATTTAAATATCCCATCGAATAAAAAATTAACGAAAAAAAAAAGTTATAATAATTTTAATAATAATAATATTATAGCAGTTTTATATATTATGGTAAATCGAATTTAACGATACGCTCGTATTCTTATAGGTATTTATCGTGTACATAAAACTCGTCAAAACAGCATAAATCTCAAGATTAAAAAAAAGAAATTATTCCTTATATACATACGCACACACTATTCCACAGTCGAATGTGTGCAATTCTTTGTCTCTACTTTGTTCTATAGTTGTAGCAGTGTAGTACACAATCAATGTGTTCTCCGGGAAACTTGGTAGGCTTGGTAGGTTATAAATTCCGAAGTCGTATATACACAACGGGCGAATAGCATTATTGCAGCGGAGTAACTTTACGATTGCGAGCGCGCCACGCCCAAAAATAACGACGGAGGGTTGAAATAGTGGGGGGAGGAGGGGGATAGAGAGCTGCACAAAACACCGTGAACGGGAAACGGGTGTTGCTATGGGGATATCCACCCCAACGCCAGAGTTCCTCCGGTGCAGCTTTATCAGTGTGGAAACTTATCTAACGTGGTCCGCGTTATATCACATCATGCCCAAAACCAACATTACCGCACGAAAAAAAAATCCTTCAATCCTTCCACCCGCTCTGAGTCGAGAAGAAAGAAAAAAATTTAAATGTGTTGTTTTTTTTGTTCACGTTCATATTGTTAAACGCCGAAACGTGATTGGCGCGACGACTGATATAATATAAGCATGTCCCCGCGAATTTTTACATTTCTAAAATTGAGATAGACCTTCGCAGACAACTTCCGTGGCCTTGCAGTTATCCGTAATATAGCCGTCGGTAATTATCATCATCGGCACCGACGAAGGTAAATTTCATTACTCACCCTATCAGATTCCACAACTCTTTAACAGAATCTTTAATGCTAGCGTACACTTCTTCGTTTAAATCCAAATATACTGACCTGAAAAAGAAAAGAAAAACAAGATATTAGTTTAAAAATCTTAACGCGGAACACCTGTTAGCACATATTGTTGTATGGTTCGGTATTACAATATACACTACAGACGGTTCAGTGTATTAGGTATGTAAAAATAACGTTAAAATATTGTCTCTAATTGACGAAACTAGATCGGCAGATGGTTGACCTAATTTGGAAGGGGGGGGGGTATAGGGACAGGTGTACAACGACAAGAACGCATGCCTTCTATCATCGTAACCGTTTTATACGCACACGTACGTATACGTATTTATTTTAATATACTTAGTAAATTTAAGCCGTCTTCCAGTTCTACCTGAACGTTCTAACATCGCTATTTTGAATTTTTATTTTACTTATTAAAAGTACGATATGTTAGATTTACGAAATAAAGTACATTATACAATTACCGAGAGTCAACGTAAAAACGTTGTAGTATTTGTCAAATCGGTTTTACGTAAGAACTTTTACGCTGGGCACTGTAATTATATTGTACTCGTATTCCGAGCAGATTTATTCACCGGACGAGGTTGTGAAACTGGTGTCGACTGTAGATATGATTTGTAGCATTATGCTTGAGAGACACACAGTCCAACAATAAACAATGAAATAATTCAGTCAGTCCCTATTTCAAGGCAAACGAACGTATCAGAGGTCGTTTCACGGTAGAGATCAAGAACCTCGTCTACAAAATAATAATGTCGACAATATGACGTCAACGAAAATCGTATGAAATAAATTATATTACGATAGCCGATGGTTCAAGGAACAAGGGTTTGGGGATTTAATTGAAACAAACCGGACGGTATTAAAGTTTTCTTTTCGGACAATATAAGTATAATGTTATATTATAATATAGTCAAATAGTCGATAATAACAATATTATCAAGAGATACGTCGAGAAGATAGTATACGACAATAGTCGCCAACGAGCCTGCACAATGACATAATACCCAAATGAAATAATAAACGATTAATAGTTAACAACAATAATAATATAACGGAAAGGTTAAACAGCGTATTGTTCGTCCCGGCATTTACTTAAGAAGGTTACTTTTATACGGCGATCGCACGTAAATCATTTCGAAATCCGAACCCGCGCGGAAAACATAACCGATTCAATGTACCGGGGAACACTCGTCGGTAAACGGTGCACCAAATTCGCACCACGCTTATTCCGCGGAACTGATTTAATTCTATAAAATCGGTCCGAATCCGTACCAAATCTGGGGGGCCCGTCGGTTAAACTTTCAAACCGTCAGCAGATTTGCATCAATACCGGACTACTACTAAGGAGTTTAATTTTATACGCGCGTATATTATATTATTACACACACACACACACATATATATATATATACGTGTACAAATAAACATACATACACACACACACATCGTATGTATAACTGCCGGAGGCCTTCCTGATCTTCAAGCGCACACAAGGACAGCGTTGTCGGTTGCAATATAATAAAAATTCGCCGGTCATTATTTCGCACGGGTACTCGAATATTTTTCGTGTGCGAGAGACGCGCGAGTCGTGTTATACCGGCGCACACTACTATATACTATTACCCACCTATATTTTCCCATCGTTATGTCATCAAGGAAGAGATTATCAGAGACGTTTGTAATATTATTATAAGGACACGATCGGTGCGATCATTTCTACTGTCAATGCCAAGGTTAACGGTTTACGCAACGTAATACGCGTTAATTACCAGTATAAATTTGCTTAAAAACCGATACGTACCCAAAACATCTGGATTTACTACTACTACGGTCTTATTATTATTATTATTATTTTTTTTTTTTCTAAAAGACGATAATCCTATTTGGATAGTATAAATTTAGAAGAAAAAAATCAAACACCGCGAAGGCTAAACTGTGCGGCGGTATTCAAACGACTGACGGTTTTTGTTTCGGCGAAATCCACTATACATAGGATAAATATTTAAAATGTTGGCGATTTGAAACGTCACACGGCCACCAATCCGCAACGAACAACACACATTCGACCGGGGATTATCAATATTTATCGTATACAATCGGACTGAGCGAAAACATATACTTTAGGCGCGAAATCAAATGTGTTTTAACTACAATAATCAAGTATCGCAGAGTTACCATTTTATAAGGATGGTAACCACCAGGACCAGGAAGACACATTTGAAACCCACGAAAACCGATCTTATTTTAAATACTTCTTCAATTGACTGTATTTTAAATACAATTTGCGAACATTTCAGAATCTAAAAAACATTAATTCCATTTCCGAACTATCAGTGATTATTAAAACAAGATTCGTGTATTTTTATCGACACTTTTTCCATTATCATTTTTCGATTTCCTCCATTATTATGCAGGCGATTGATGTTTTATCGACTAATTATGTACCTATATAATAATACTAATGTTATTACGATAAGTCAGTTTAATATTAATGAAACGAAGAAACAACGTTTTCTCAGAAAAAAAATGTATTTGTTTTTCGATAATAACGTATGAATGATATCTTACAGCTATTTTATTTCATTATTATCACTGTTCAAAAGTAAAAGATGCGTCATAGACAATTCAAATTATACACAATTATAAGGTATTAACACGAAAACTCCGACGCGTGTAAAATAACATACAGACTACAATACCCACAATACACACGTTTTCCAAAAATCTGTTCAGCCGCTGCCGTAACGTTTTTTTTTTCTTCTCTTCTCTTTTACCGCGGTTCACACCAGACGGTTTTTATTTATTTCTGGTACAATGGGCCCGGGGTCAACAAAATAGGGTGGAGTATAGGTACGCCGAGGCACAGACGTACATTTTGGGTAAAATTTCTCGGTTATTTTTCGTAGCCGTCCCGTATACAATATCATGGTACCTTAAGTCTAACACACACACGCACACAATACACAATATAGCGGAAAACGAGACAACAAAGAAACCAGGTGTGACGTCACCGTCATCACCCGGGAACCAGCCTTCGGAATCGAGTCTGGCCTTGGTGGTAGTGTGTGCGACTAGAGAGGTGCGCGCACACGACGATGACGGCGCGTTTAGAGAGTGTAGGTACACACTGTATGTGCGTGTGCGTGTGCGTGTGCGTGTATAGTGTGTACTTACACACACAATAACCAACGATTGTGCCTCCCTACCGTTCAAACCAGTACTTTCCAAAATGTTTCTACTCATGGCTCCCTTTTTGAACTAACGTTTTCATAGGGTACCTTAACAATCAATTGCAATCGAAAACTTATTCTGATCAGAGTAATATTAATCGCGAGTTTTTTTTTTCGTACGTTGTAACCAAAGTAACCGAAGTGAAGTATCAACAATGTTGTTCATTTTTTTTTTTTTAATTTTAGAGAAAAAGTGTGTATATCTTTTACGGAGCGAAAGTTTCGTAGCGTTTTTACTAACCGAAAAAGTGTTTTCCGAGAAAAAACCAAAACCAAAAATATTCAACACCGTGATGCAGCGCCTCTGTACAGACATGACGGTGCTCCGGGGCGCACACTTTGGGAACCGTTGGCCTTAACCATTAAACGCTATGGGTACCACAGCCGTATCTACCGCAGTACCGCCCCGTTCCATTTCTTTCTGTAGATTTGTTAAAAAAATATACGCGCGCGTGTTTTATTTTTTTTAAATTTATCTATCACACTGTACACCACGACGTAGCGTTTCTGTTTATCGACGATGGTAAAAAAAAAAAATAAAAATAAAAAATAAAAAATAAGCACCGCACGGCAGTAAACGACGACCGACTGTATACCAAAGGATAAGTTCACGGAACCGTGATAACACAGCGATTGCTGCACGTCGCCGCCGCGAAGCAAAAACGTGGTAGGCTGCGATAACGGCACACGGGGATCGTATCGATTAATAGGAATTTCTATAGTCTGTGAGAATTTAATTTTTCCGTACACTGTGCATATTGTACGCGTGTACGTCGGCTGTGAACAATATTGGAAACGTATGCGCGATTTCAAAACTTATCAATTATCATTATTATACGATTTGATGATGCGAACGAATATCTACACAATATCTTACAATAATAATAATCGTTGTCGCCTGTCGTCGCGACAGCCGTTTTCATTACTATTATTATATAGTCGTCGGGTCGCGAAAATAAATTCTCTTTTGAGACTAATCGATGCGGAAAAAAATTCACTTACATTGTACAAAACGTTACGCGTACCAAGTTAACCGCACGGGGAAAAAAAAAGCGCACAGACCTCCCGCTAGGCGACAATCGTGTTTACAACAAGTATTCGCGAAATCGTAAAAATCTCACTAGTATAAGTTCCGCGTTTTTTCCCCCTTCCCCGTAGCGCTTATTTTTTTTCGACTTCAGGAAACGCGATACGATTTTGTGACCGGGACGAGGTGGCGGGCGACGTTTCGAAGGCGCGCGGAGGGGAAATTGTATCAGCGCCGATTGTACCGACCGACGGACGGATGAAATATTACATGGCGAGATTGCGCGGGAGGGAAACATGCCAGTTTCATAAACCATCGGCTATTATTATTATAGGCAGAGGTGTATTATTATATTATAGTATATACGTATAGATATTATATTATTATTACAACCGCCGCCGGACAAGGCCGCCCGCGTCCAAGGTCATTTCCTTTTCGCGTGCGTATTGCTTCGTCGACGACGACGTCGTCGCCGCCGCCGCCGCCGCCGTCGTCACAGCGCAGCGTCGTTACACGCGGTCGCGTTTTTCCGTTTGTCACCGCGGCTTTCCCGGGTACGGCCGCGCGGCGTGTCGCAATCGGTTGCGTAAAATTATTAATAATAATGATAAGGAATAGAGTAAAAAAAAAAAAAAAAAAAACACCTCAGTCGTACGATCGCGCGCGGACGACGGTCTATAGCTCGACAAACACAACGAAGTAAAGAGTATATTAATATAATAAATAAATATATACACACATATACCCTTGACTTAGTTGTACCCAGGCCAGGCGCCACCGGTTGTCACGCGTATTTCCTAACTAGGACACACACACACACACGCGCGCGCGCGCGAACACATACAAACATAATATTATATATATACATATATTGTATAATGTATATTACATATTATTATTATTATTATATTTTAAACGTCGGACACATATTACGCGCGGGTTTTCGTTTAAAAGGTCTCCGTAACAATAACATTATCGAGGTGTCGGCACGCACGCCCCGGAGAAACTCGTCGTTCGAGTGGAAACCCAGTTATATATATAAAAAAAAAACCGCATTGCTGAGAGCAAACTGCGGCGCCGCCGAAAGTATTGACGAGTGTCGAGAAAATCGGGATCGGAGTAAAATCCGAATGATTTTTCGGTCTTAATTTTACGCGCGATTTTGACGAAACGCATCGCAGCGAGTTACGGCGCGCAATATTCGATATACCTATACAGACTACTATTGTGTATATATTATATTATAATCGAATACTTACGGAGGGAACAACGCAGACATTTGGGCTCTCATAGAATGGCTATCGCGATCCATTGTTATATAGATTTTAATAAATAGGATATTTTAATTATAATAAGTTAAAATGTTTTCTAAAACAAAGCACCAACACGAATTAGAGAATACTATGTACAATATACTGTGCGATGGTACGGGTAACCCAGTATAATAATAACGAGATTTAAAATTTAAAATGTTAACGGACCGAAAACGCACCGAACACTACTGAGAGCGGCGACAGTTTAGGAAGACGACGGTAGACGACTAACCGCCCTTGACACAAACGGTGGGAACCAAAGCCAAATCTGAATCCTCTTCTTTCATTGTTAGCACTCTCTCTCTTCGTTTCCACTTTGAACAACCGGTATTCCCGCATGGGGAACCCTTTCACGGGCGGGGTCCGTAACCGTCGAAGGGATATGATAATGTCGTCCTAATGGTGTCATCGCGCCTCTTTCCCTCCGAGGGGTTTATAAAATAACACGGGATGCACTATAGCGGTTCCCGGACTGCCTCACGGCATTTGGCCACCATTGGCCCGCGGGTAATCGTCCCGCATGAGGGATCCCGTTATAAACAGGACTGCGCGTATATACCTGGGGTCCAAAGACAATTCTTCGCCACCCTATATGTATAATGCTTAAGGTGTGAATCATCCGATATCCCCAAGAACAGCTGATTCTTAAACATACGTAACGGAGAATCGGGTCATTTGTTAAAGAGAGAACTAGTTGCCGTTGAAATGACTATATATATATATATGATGATAATATTATAGTTTTTGATTTTGTTCGAAAATGGCGTCTGTGCCGAAATTCCATGTGATCATCAGCTGACTGTTTTTTTTTCTCGGAAGCAAGTGGACTCGGCCAATATCTTCCACGCTATCCGTGCGTGTAAACGGACGACGGGGGGGGGGTCCTTGGGCCGTTTAAAAGGAATATAATAACGACGAATGCAATGCGAGAAGGGAATATTCCCATGCAGCAAACGACTACCAGCTGCTTGTTCCACACAGCTGTGCTGTTTTGCATATTTTCATAGAAAACGTACGTATATCGTTTATGCGTTTGAGCATAAACCGTAGGCGACAGCGATCGCGTAAACCGTGAAATAACCTCCATCAAATTTATGATATTATAATTTATAACAGTGTAATGACGTACAAGGAATTAAAACATCCACGCGCGGTTAGGAGAACTGGGTAGGGACAGATGCCCGGAAATGATAAGAATAAATGATAACGGTCCGAAAGTGTAATAATTTTTATACCTATGCCTATTTAAATTGGCAATATTTGAATAATGAATATTACTGTATTTAATTGGAAAATGGCTTCGTCTCGCTTCACCCGTGCGGTTGCCCTTTTTGCAATGGATTTTTAACAGACAAATTAATAATATTATACAAAAACAATATACATTAAAAAAAAAAAAAACCACAAGTTTCACGGTCGATACGACAAAAAAACGTAGGTATCCGTTTGAAAATTTTCTTATAAACCATTTCTTTTCTAAAACGTGGTATTTTTCTAGAAATTATACGGTTTTGTGTCAAAAATAATTACCTTGACCCGCATAATGACTTCTTTGTCGATCCGACGTCATTGCAAAAATACATACGAACATTTGTGAATAATAATAATAATTTATTATTATTATTATTATTATTATTGGATACAGAAGCCAGAAGGCAGTCAGCCTTGTTGGTAAATGTCAGACATGAATAGTGAAGAAGTAGGGGCTGCGAGAACGATAACGGTTGCGGTGAAAAATGGTGAATCTCTTTTTCGGACTAAACCGATTTTCTTTATTGGATTTCGGTGGGAAAAAAAATATGATAATAATAAAAAATGAACGCAATTCCGATTAGATAACTAAACAACACCGCGAGAAGGAATGGAAAAAAAATAATAATAATAAATAACAACAAATAACCGACGACGACGTTAATTTCTTTCCGCTATTTCTTTGTCGTGTAACACAATTCGACCGAAAACTGAATGATTTCACTTTTCAGCCGAAACCGCAACGAGCGAATTTCTAACGACCCGACCGACGGGAAAAAAAAATGTATACATATAATATATAGGTATTTATTATTTATTATTCGTTTAACTTGCAAAGTAATAATAAGTATATTATATTATAGTGTAACACAATAATATTATTACTATATACTATATACTATACAGGTACATAAAATAATAGTACAACCCAACCATTATTATTACGCCGGTGTCTATATACACAGCCGAGTTATTGCATTTTTAACTATACGGGGAATTAGGCCAAGGCGGCTTTGAAGGTACCACACGGCGTGTTCGCCGTCGTCTGGCGTTGTGCTGTACCATAAATTCCGATACCTCGGAAATACCACTCGCGGGGCAGACGTTTCACGTTGTATCATTATTATTATATTTCTCGCGCACAGTAATAATATATTTTTCGTAACAGGTACATTTCAGAGGACGACGGGGCGACAAAAACGAGACGCGTATGGTACTTTTTGTATTGTCGCGGTATTATGAACGTACATAATATATGTATACATATATATTATATTATATAGTGGGTGTCTCGTTAGATCCGTCGGGGGAAAAAAAAAATATATAGTATAATAATGATAAAAACCACCTGGCGATACCTGCAGCAGCACTCGCGCGCACACCTCCTCTCTTATGCTCTCGGCCGCGCCGCAGCCGCCGACGGACCGGGCGGTGTCGACGGCGGCCCAGGTGTGTGCGTGTGCGTGTATCGGACACACACAAAAGGTTACAGAGAGAAAAAAAAACTCGTAGTGAAAGGGGGCTGGAGTTGGTGGCTGTGTTCGGTTGTAGGTGGACGAAAAAACACAAACACACACACATACGCGCATAAGATCACTACGCGTATAATATAGAAAGACAGATGGTACGTGAAAAGTCGTCACAGCTGAACGTCCGTGTATTATTTATGCTTACGATAAAAGTATACACAAAGCGACGATAAAAGATAAAGACGACGGGGCGAATGAGAAAAAAAAAAAAGGCATCCGTCTACGGGTTTTCGCGGACTTTCTCCCCCCCCATCGCGAAGAGACGGTATAGTTTTCCCGAGGACCGGCCGTGACGACGACATAGATATAAATGGTAAAATATATTATATTCGATTATTTCTAGGCCCGCATCGCGCGAAGAGCCGGGTTTCGAGAGCATAAAAACGAAGCACCAGCGATTTAGTGGAATATAATATATTATAATGTTCATTACATTGTAGAGTATCATAGACGTCGCCTGTGCCCGGAGATATGGTATACCTAATAATAATATAATAAACAAAGAACGACCGCACACAGATGGCCGGCCGGCGCACGGACAGGCAACGTCGTCTTCGGGGGGGTACCGCCACTTCGTCCGCCGTTCGAATCTTTCTCGCTCGCACGCGGCTTTTTACGTGCGTGTCGAGAGTCTACGCCGCGGCGGCAGCGACCGCATCGTCGTCGTTCACGTAATAATGTTTCCCAAAAACCGTAACGCAGTCCGTAACGCACGGTGATAGCGCGCATTTTAGGAATCAATGACGACGACGACGCGCGCGGCTGTAAGATGACGACGGTTTCTCCATCACGAAGGGTCCGTCGCCCAGGAGAGGGTTCCTGTCGTATTGGGATTTGGGGTGAGCGCCGCCACTGTCATGTCCCTTCTCGGTTTGCTCCCCGCGTATAATGTACAATACAATATTCTTACGCGACGAGGGATGCGCGCCGCCGCGTCGTTAACGGCATTTTGTCCAACGCATTCCTCCTATTAAGTCAGGGGCGCGCACACACCACTGTTCAATGCTGCAAAAACCCAATCGCGAAATACACGCGGTTACGTTAGATTTTCCGAAATAAACAGATACGGTCAGTCGTCTGTCTCGATGGCCAGTCACACAGGATATGATACAATGCGATAAGCACGCGATATTCATTTATATCGGTATCCCGCCGTGAGCGTATAGAATTCCGTCGGTCACATCGATAACGACGTCAATATGTTATTACGGGAAGGAGGGAAAACGCACATTTCGTACTCAATATTGTCTGCGCACAGATCTCATAACCATATTTTGTTATAATAGCAATCGGGAACTGTAAAATTCTCCTCGGGATAAAGATAAAAAAAAAAAAAAACATTGAACATAACCTCAAATATTCCAATATCGTTACGTCCGAGAACGGCAACCTCCGTTCTCGCTCGTCATAATTCAATTCAATAACAACCCTCGATTTCATATGAAAAATCACGTCGGATAGGTCGAAAATAGTTTCGTTTCTTTCGCGGTTTGTGTAGTGTACTTCGGAAATAACACACCTATAAGGGCTATGACCGTACAAGGCGAATTTCCGTCATTTATCGCACGGAAACGCGCACGTCGTAAAAACATATACGTTCCAGAAACCCATAAAAAAAAAAAAAAAAAAATATATCGCTACAATTGTACGTACGCGAACGACTGTTTTTTTTTTCGCGTTTTCACAGAGAGGAACAAACACTGGCAAAAGTATAATAATGATACGCATACGCGCTAGTGGAAAACGCGTACCGCCGGTACACATAAACCCAACAACACGATATTATTATATATACGTTCGCGAAGTACCAGTGCAGAGCCTCCCGCCCCTCACCATATACGCACGACAGCGGCAGTGCGCATTTAAGTGCATTTTTACATTGTACACGGAGCAACGCCGAGAACGCATTTATCACATCATATACATAATACAAAACTAAAAGGGGGAGAGCTTTTTTTTTATTTTTTTTAATACGCATTGTGCGCTGTCTACCCACACCACTGCCCGCACACCCTTTTGTATTTAGCGTGTACACACACACACACACACACACACACATGTATATACCACCGCCACTCCGCCGACTTCCTCTCCGGAGGGCATTGCGCAAACGAACCGTTACGACAATAGGGGGATGGTTGTTTCGCGTATATATAATTATATACGGCGGCAGCGGGTGGAGGAGGAGGTCAACGTCCCTGTGTGGCTCGTGCTGACCACCGGGCCCCGACCGAGCGTAATTATTTCATGCGGCGGCCGCTGCCGCTGCCGCCGCCGCCGCCGTTATGAACACCGCGGCGGCGGCTGCGATTCCGGGTAGTAGCGGGGCGGAAGCGAAAAAACTTTCACTGCAGTTAAAATTTATACTCTTTGTGCTTTGAAAAAAAAACACACAGCACAACGCTCGTGTAGCAGCTGTTATTGTGTAACGTCGTCGTCGTCGTCGTCGTCGAGCTAACCCCTCTCCTCTGGTAACCTTTGCCCCACCATATGAAATTGGCCCGAAATAAAGCCCTCGACGTCGTCGGCGGAAAGGTAAAAAAACTTACAGAAAAAGAGAACGGCGGCCGTACGCATATAGGTACCTATGATATTATTATTATTATTATTATCATTATTATTATATAGTGGTGCGCCGGGGATATGGGTTCAAGGGCAACCGAAGCGGTTTTTTCAAGACCGGTTCAATAAACGATGGCGTCCGCTGTTGCCGTGCATCAAGTTCTATGCGGACGTATATACACGGCGACGGTGTTGACGACGACTACGATGGTAAGCCGCGAGGACTACAAAGGGCGAAAGAAAATTATTTAAAGATATTAAATAACATAGAAAACGGTTATCGTCGGGTACACTGATAAGGACATGACCGACCGATATTGGAATACACAATACCTATATAATACAATAATAATATAATAGGATTTATACGGTTTATTATCTTATCAATATTTATATTGTTCGAAGAGAACGGTGACGCGACGTGAACATTATCATTACTACTATAATTTTTATTATTATTTTTTTTTTTTATAACATAGATTACAGTATTACGGAGCTGATAACGAGGTGCGCGACGAATGACGATAAGGTATCGAAGAAACAATATGAGGCGCCGAGAAAAAAAACAAGGTGCATTATATTTACCTAGTTTCCATGTTGATGACGGCCGTGTTGTACAGCAGGTGATGTATTCTACGGTGATATCTGAGGTGATTGCTAGCGGCGACGAACGCGGGCGGCAATACGAACGGTCGGAAGCACGGCGGCCCAAGCACATACGGCACCAGTAGCACGACGGCACCGTCACACCGACAGACTCTACCGAAATTGCGCGGTGGAAGCGAACACGCGTCGAAACAATTATTAACACTACTACTGCAACTACTATTACTACTACTACCGATGCCGGTGTTGTTACCGGTGCTGATGGTGGTGCTAGCGGTGGCACCGCCAACGACGAACAGTCGACCGCCGCAATAAAAACACGCCGGGCTATCCAGTACAGGCAACCAGTAGAGCGTCGTCGTTGTCGTCGTAGTACTATTATTACCGGCAGTGACAGTGGCGGCGGCGGCGGCGGCGGTAGCGGCGGCGGCGGCGGCAGCAGCAGCAGCAATAGTAACGGCGGCAGCAGCGGCGGCAGAAGGCGATGATTTTTTAATAGTCGTCGCGGTCGTCGTCGTATTCGTTGCTGCTATACAGTGGCGGATCGACAGAACCACTGCTGGCATGACAAACCGCGCGCTCAACACGAACTGGCCGGCCTCCGGAATCGCGGTGAGCGCCCGCGACGGCGCGCACGCACACGCGCTGGGCGGTACCGCCACATTTTGTACACTATCGATTTTTTCCCCTTTCCCCTCTACCGCGGCCGCCAGACCGACTCTTGCGGCTGAACCAGTGCTCCCACCCGCCTTCTAACCGTCCGAACAACGGTTGTGAATATAGCCGCCGCCGCCAAAGCGCTGCTCCGCTCACACATCGCCGACGATTTTGACATCGATAGTTATGCGTGTGATACGGCCGACGATTGTTTTGTGTTTTCGGTGTGCCGAAAGAGGTGTACACGCAGCACAGCTACATACATACACACACCCATATACTATTATATACGTGCACGTACGTACTAATACACACACACGCGCGCGCAAGAGGCGCGCGGCGGTGGGATCGCATGCACGAGGAGTGTGCCAACAGCTGCGCGCACAACGCCCCGCTCCATTGTGACGCCCTTGAATTGCCGCCGCCGCCGCCGCGCGTTGTGCTTGTGCACGACGACTACGCGCTCGGCGGGAGAGAAACAAACACGCACGCGAGGGGGCTTTACACACGGCGGCAGCGACTGGTGGATTTCTTTTAATAATAATATTTCGGTTTTAATTGTTTTTTTTTTCGCATGTTAGTCGCTATAATACTCACTATCGCAGTGGTCGACGACGAATAACAACGACGCACGGTATAATGCGAATAACATTTACGTACATGTTCACTTTCAGATTACGCGCGTACCTTATACACACTTATCGTCGTCGGGCACACAACTTGAACGTAGACGAGAAAAAAAAAACAATTACTATCTCGAAGGTATTATTATCGCTGCAACACACACAGTCGTGTAACAATCGTAGACAATTTTTACAAAAGCATGCATCGTCAATAATAATATCGTGTAAGTGCCACGCGAGTAAAAAATAATACCGCGTTTTTATCGGCATACCGCGGAATAAATAGTTCGCCGCGTCGCGATAAATTATTCAAAACCTATATCGTAATAATAATATTTCCGCCGACACCGGTAAGGGGGGAGGGGATACAATGCGCGGCCGCGTTACTAGCGACACGAGGATCATAATCCCGGGGGCTCGAGGCAAAAAAAGGCAAGTCTCATTTTTAATCGCTTTTGGGAAATTAAGAATAAAACACATTTTCCAGCCTTTAGGGTATTGCAATAGTAATTTTTCTCACGACAACTATCTTCTCAAATCTCACCAATTAATGATTACTGAGATACGCCCTTTTACCGCTATAAAAGCGTATACGATTTTACACGATACATCAAATTTTCACCAAACAGTGACATTGGCCCTTTTTGACCCAAGCCCCCCCCCCGGTATTATTATTATTATTTATACGATAATATTTTAACTCCCCCCGGGCCCCCGATGAAAAAAATAATACGAATCCCTCGATAATAGTATTTTAACTTGCGTTTAACGTATATTTTGAGAATTTTTTTCGCCGCCCCTGAAATTTCTCCTACGCGACCGTGTATACATATTATAATACGTATATATTTTACCGGGTTTGCTGCCGACGGACATTATACAGCACTAGTTGATAGAAATGTTAATTTTTTCACGTTTTAAATTGAATATCGATACACCCCGAATCACACGCAGACTATAATAACGATAAAAATATCGTCGTTACTGCGATATTACCACTACTCGGTATTTCAATATCGGATTAAAGGGTTTTCGAACGTATTTTGGTTCTAGTGGAGAACATTCTATGCAAATATCGCCCTGTAAGCGCCGCTTGGTGTAGGAATTCGATATAGTAAAAATAAAAAAACAAGTAAACATATACCTACTATAATATTTTGAGACAAAACTAACACAACGACGAATGACGTCAACAGAAAGATTGATAGGGAAAACTATCTATTATTAAAATAATATTATATTGTACAATATATTATTAATCGAATACCGATTAATGTCAAAGTTTAAGGTTCGGGAAAAAAAAAAAAAAAAAAATTTCAACTGGCATATAATATTATGAAGCAGCAACCGCGTGCGTCGCGTACGTATCCGCACACGCGCGCGCACACACGCGAAGATAATAGTATTACATAATTACAGTGAAACGTTAACGAGTGATAAAAGATTAGGAAATACAATTAAATCCGAGTTCGAAACGACGAACGCTCAGCTGACGAGTACGTTAATGATGATGATAATAATAATAATAATAATAATAATAATAATAATAATAATAATAATAATCCGTATCGCACAACACGCGGTTTAACTGCTCGGCCGCCGTCCCAACGCGGTAAATCGTTGTTTAGTGGATACTTCCTTTTTAAAAGTGCGTATTATTTATATTATTTTATAATACGTGTAGGTATACGACATACACGATAACAATATTATATGCGCTTTTATGCGCTTATACGGCGCGTGCAAGACGAGATTTGACGAACGCGCGCGCGTGTCAGTAGCACACAAGTGCAAAACCGTAACAACGATAATATTATTATTATTATTATAGCGGCGCATTTAACGCCGAGTAATGACGTTTCGCGTCGGTTTTCGATATTTCCCGTACGGTATTTTATAATAGCATTATAAATAACGCGCGATTATTCCGGAGTTCGTAACGCCCCGCCACAAAAACATATCAGACGGTCCGAAAACCACTAGAAATGTGCACGGTAAAAACGCGTTCGAACACTGCCGATATTATTATAAAATTATTTTGTAATACCGATAGAATGTACACGAAGCAGGTCCCCGGGGCTGTTCACCGACAACGAGGAACGGTCAAATCTGATATTAATTTTGTGATTCTATCCGCCGTTCGTATTTCTTTCTATTTATACGAATATTTCCGACCCAATGTTTACTGCGAACTGTTCTTTATTTGCCCCATGGATATCGTTACTACCGTTCGATAATACTCACCGAGACCACCACAATAGAATATAACCCATAAAAAAAACCCAGAAAAATGGATTATTTTTGGTATTTCTCTGGACTCACTTCTAGAACAACAATACTAAATTATTGACCTTTGGCTATTATAATAAGTTACGGATATATAGGCTGTTCGAAAATAAATAATTAGAAAACCGCGGTGCTCCGCGGAAACACAAACGTCGAAAGAAAAATATCCATTACGCTTAAAAATGGATGCTGTTCCAAGGATGTTAAATTATTGATGTAAAACATTGGTCATCGAAATTTCGCATTGTGGAGCGATAATACACATCAGTGAAATATGGTGCCTGGCCTCTTACCATTTTCCTAACAACTTTAACTCTTTGTGGTAAATACTGTGGTCTCAGTATTATTGATAATAACAATAACTAATAAGAGAACCTATTTCATATTAACAGCGTTGAGATACCATTATTTTTTTTTTTTTTATTGTGTGGAAAAATATTTTTATGAAAAATGCTCTAAAAAGTTAAATTCGCAAAAAAAAAAATATATATCTAAAGCACATTTTTAAACACCAGAAAAAAAATGACATCACATCATTAAAATCTCAGTCCTAATGAGTAATAATAAAAAAAAAAAATCACAATAATATTATAATACCAGTATAAAGGTTTTCTTCATTTTTGGGGAAAAACAGCGGAATTACCACAGTAAGGACGTGAAGAAGAGCTAACGATTATTTGTTTTGCTCGTTCAAACAAAAGGAAATCATTTTTCGTCGGTTCTTCTACGCTTTAGTGGTCGCACCCATTCTCGGTATCAGCTTTTTTTTTTTTTTTTATAACGATTTTAAGATCAGATTTAATTAAATATTATATTTTAATTCGTACGTTTACATAATATTATAATACGGGCGGAAAAGCGGAAAAGCGGAAATCGATATGCGCACAAATCGTTTTTATTTTATTTAGGACCGTTGTTTCTGTTAAACGGAAAAATCATTGCAAAAATTACGTTTCGAACGAATCAAATGTAAAACGTCGGATCAACATCCTATTGGTTATGTTATTATTTTTAATTTTCGGTTGTAACTTTGTCGGTAACATTATATATTTCTTGGGGGGGGGTTAATACGCCCACGCTCCATTTCGCCGTCATACAGCCCCCTTCACATCACCCGAATAAAAATAAACATTGTACCGCGGGCTCAGAAACGCGGCTCGGGTCCATTTTTTCGGAATAATTTTCGTAGATTCCGTCGCGCGTACGTTATTATTATTACGAGAGTACTCCGTATAAATTGCACGCGCTCGACGAACAACACGCACACCGGCGGTGGCGACGGTGCGCCAAGAATTCCATAAATGGCCGGTCGTCCGGGGGTAATGGCGTTATTCGTCCTCTGCGCCGCCCGCGTCGTTCTATAGCGGCCGGCGACGACGACGACGTCCTCGCGAGTAACGGCCCGACCGCGACGACGATTGCCGCGCGCGCGAGAAAAATGCCAACTGGCACTGGTTTTCTTTTGGACGCGCCGCCGCCGGGCGTTGTTTCGTACGCGATTTTGTCCGTCTCTTTTGTCGGAGCTCGCACGTTGGTTGGGATCTCCCTCCTCGTCGGCGACAACGAATCTATACACCGGAGTAGAGCGATTTAGCGAGATAATGTGTGCGAGAGAGAGAGAGAGAGAAAGAGAAAAGACGGGCACAACTATAGATCACGACGACCGCGAACCGAACGCACGAAATGGTGCCAAATTATACTGAAAGACTGCGTTTTGGTAGACGTCCAGCAGATGAAAAAAAAAAAACCAACAAAAACACTACACGCTCCGAGCGAGAAACACGACGACGCGTTTTCCGGCTATCGTGTTGCAGACTTGATAAGTCTATAATAGAGCCGAATAAACGAAATTAGCGGTCCGGGGCTAATCCGTTGTGGCGGGGCCCCATAAGTTTACAAAGAAATTATATTTGTTTAAATGTTGTAAATAGAACAACATAAACTATTTTTTTTTTCCCAGGGGGCTTTTAGAACAAACCCTTTAATCCGGTTCTAGGCCC